GGCACACCTTGCCCCTGGATCACAAGAAGGAAAGAAAGCTTTCAGCACCCACAACATAGCTCTTCACTTCAGGGAAAAATGTAATAAAGCATTAAGTCTCAAGTGAATAAACAACCTCCAAAGGCAATCCTTCTCAGCTCAGTGTATCATCCCTTTTCTCACAGGCATGGCCTGAATTTCCTTCTTCTGAGGTGAGCTGTTGGATCAGCTCATGGTGGCCATGAAGCCTTGGTCTCTGTCACACAAAAGACCATAATTTGCTTCTGCCACGAGGTCCTTGGGCAATTCAGCAAAGAGCTTCACAGCCTCCACAGTCAGCCTGAGGTTTAGGAGTGATGTGACAGAGATCACAGCTTCATGACCACAACAAGCTGATCCAAGAGCTCACCTCAGAAGGTGGAAATTCATTCCCTTGGGATAATCTGTTTCAGCAAAATAGCCAGTTTTATCCTGGCTTAGTAGGCTGAACTGGCACAAGAAATGCTCCAGTAAGAATCACGGTCAGTGTAAGTGTGGGTTGCTCTGCTGAGGAGAGGGTGAGAAAAGCCAGGACCAGGGAATAGGGAACAGGCACAAACCCCACTCCTTTCAGCAGCACTGCACTGTCACATTAGTATCCATGCTTGTGAAACCACAGGCTGAGGACTTGCTGAGGAGCAATAACTCATCTGCAGAACCTTTCATGAAATGCAATCCAGTACTCCCAAGCAGTATTCGTATCTTACCCATCAGCTCCCCAAAGCATCATACATATAAAGTAACAATCTAGTGAAAGGGGAAATAAAATTAGCTGCACAAATATTTAGATAACCCACAATAAAAGGAGAAGCAGTCAGCAACTCACAGAAATCATGAGCCACAAACCCAATAAGACGGACAAAAGGACAAAAGGAAATAACTTCTGTGTCTGCCAAGAGAGCAAGAGAGATTTCGATCTTTGGGTGTTTGCTCTCCTGGGTGTTTCTTGAATTACTGGGTTTTTTTATATATCAAAACCAAATTGGTTCATTTTTGGATGGACAAAGTAGATGGAAATGAAGAGAGCAGAACTATTTCATAAATATTCTTATCCAGCATCACAGAAGCAGGGGCTTATATGCATGCACAAAATGAAGGTGAATTAACTGGCCTCACTGTAAACAAAGTTCAGCAAAAACCAGACATTACTAACTAGATTAGCTCCTAAATGAGCAAGTCTGAGATGAGCACAAGCAAGAGCTCCAAAAGAGCAGATGGACAAGTGCCCTGTCCACTGACTACAAGGACACTAACACAACTGCTTGAGATATGGCACTGACATGAAGGACTAGGTGTATAAAAGGTGCCTTGAAACTACACCTTACCTTGAGACTATCTCAAGGCATCCTCAGAGGGAAAGAAAAGCTCAAAGCAGCTGGAGACAGCCTCTCAAGCTCACACTTGCTGAACAGTGATGGAGCAAAACAGCAGGAGGACACCCCATAAAAACAAAGCCCTGGCCCACTGGAAATTAGTGGAAAGGGTACATCTCCCACAGAAGAACATGTCTTTCCATGGCAGCAGGCACAGCCTGGAGACAGGAGATGCTGCTGTGCCTACACTATCTCCCATAATGCTTTAGAATTGGCACCTCCTTCACAATCTTTAGATTTGCCAGAAATTGCAAGTGGGGAAAGTTGCTATTGTTCCTAATGATTAACAGACTATGCCATCAGTATAACGGGTAATATTCATGTTCCTTCTCCAGGCAGGAGGCACTCCAGGCAGCCCAGCAAGGTGCTTGGAGCACCTGCAGCAAGGAGCTCCTGCCATCCCCTCCAGGAAGCACTGGGATCTAAGACAACGTGCTCACAAGTAGCTTTCAGGTGCCTTTGTGAGCTGCAGCCTCACACCTGGAGGGGCTGTGCTGGTGAAGAGGACGGCCTGTGGCAAGCCCATGGGAAGAGGCTGTCAGCATCCCACAGCACTGCCCATGTTCAGAGCAATGCCTTTTCTTGGCCTCAGCATGGCCACAAAGGGAGGAACTCATGAGCGAGGGTTTAGTAAACTCACAAGTTTCCAGAAGACTCTCCTGGCGAGAGGGAAGAGGAGCAGGAACATGGGCGACGTGCCAGAGATCGATTTGTCCAATTTGAAGAAATTAATTTAATTGTCTCTGGCAGTAGGAAAGCTTGCAGCTGCTGGCTCCAGGAAGCCTGGACAGTAAGACAAGGCGGCGCCAACACTGCTAGAATGAAGCAAGTGAGGTGAACACCCAGCAGCCAGGGCTCAGGAAGCTTGGTGGCTTCACATCCTTGCAATGAGAGGCTTGCACACCCACCATTTCCAGTCTGAATTGTTATATCCCTCTAAAATCCAGGCTGTTAACATTTAGTGTAGCTGGTACAAGATAGTGTTTAAAAATTCCACCATTCTGCAATTAAAACCTTGCCCTGCAAAAGCCAGGGGTCTGTCCTGTCTGTCCCACCACCCAGCAGGCTGCTGAGGTGGTGGGACCTTGCGTCCCAGCCCAGGGAGGTGAAAATCAGGGAGAATACTAACAATTCTGTAATTACAAAATTATGTTTATTTTTCTTTTTTTTTTTTTCCTCAGAAGATAAGAACAGTTGGAGAACTATATGCTGTGGGGCCTCACAAATCTACTGCCAGGATTTGCTGTTTGAGGCTTTCATCCATCCAGTTTTAATCCAAATTAGTAGGAGCTTCAGAAAGGGATTCTGGCAAAGTCACAGCTGGAAAGATTTTCATCATTAATTCTGCCAGGCATATAAAAATACAATTTAAAAAAAAATAGGAAGGGGGTGGGCTGTAACAGCTCTTGGCAGAAACTTGTTTTGGTTTGCTTTTAGAGTAAAAACAAAAATCAAAATAAAATCCGTATTTAATTAAGAAATAATCCTTATCTTTGTTTTCCTTGACATTTTTACATAAGGCTAAAAATGCCATTCTAGGATTATTATAGAATTAATTTCTTTGCTTTGTAAAGAGGCAGGGCAGCTGGGGGTGTGCGGGGAGGGCCGGCTCCCCTGGCCCCAGTGGCACAGGGCTGTGCAGATTTTTGGCAGGTCATTCCTTGTAGCAAACAGCAGTAGTTTAACGAGTTCAGCCTGCAGCTTGTCAGGGGGAACACCAGAGCAGGAGGCAGCACAAGCACAGGTGGTGCCTGGGGCTTGTGTGTGCTCACCCAGCAAGCACCAGCACGTCCCCACTGCCTGGGACCAGCTCCCCAGCAGGGACAGGACCAGAGGTGCACACACACTTCTGTGACAGTTCCTGCTCCAAGCTGTGGAGACTAAAACATGACATTTTGCAAATGTTGACTCTGACAAGTACTGCTTCAGCAAACCAGTTCATTTTCTCATGTAATCTCATTTATCCAGGGAGTGCCGTGTTAAGGAATGAGGCTCAAGCAAGGGCACACAAGTACTCTGCCACATATGGATGGATTTTGAAGAGAGAGTAGGAACTTCCCAAAATGCTTCTAAATTGCTATGGGTCTGTCTATTAAAAACACACAAGGTTCCCTTCAGGACAGAAGCATACGTGCTATGGTGCTGCTCATGATTCTGGTTATCCTAGTCTCTTTCACAACTGTAATTGTAATAAACCCACTGCACCTGCCCAGCACTCCTGATCGCAGATCTCAAAGCTTTAAGCCAACTGCCTCAAAACAAATCCGATTTATAAAGGCACATTGTGACCACAGAGGCATCATCCCACCATCACATACAGTCACACAAAGAAGACAACCATGAACAACTCAAGGCTGCCTGTATGTAAACGTGAGGAGCTGGACTGGGGAATGAGATGCTGGAAAGCAGTGTTGTGCAAAGGGACCTGGGGGTTCTGGTCAAAAGAGAATTGAACACGAGCCAGCAGTGCCCCAGCAGCCAGGAGGGCCAAGCATGTCCTGGGGGGCATGAGGCACAGCATTGCAGCTGGGCAAGGGAGGGGATTGGAGGGGATTGTCCTGCTCTGCTCTGCACTGAGGCAGCCTCACCGTGAACCCTGCATGCCGTTTTGGGCACCACAATGTAACAAAGATATTAAAGAGTGTCCAAAGGAGGGCCATGAGGAAGGTGAAGGGTCTGGAAGGGAAGCTTTATGAGGAGCAGCTGGGGTCACTTGGGTCTCTTCAGCCTGGAAACGACTGAGGAGAGACCTCATTGTGGTCTTCAACATTCTTGTGAGGGGAAGAGGGGCAAGTACTGATCTCTTCACTCTGGTGACCTGTGACAGGGCTCAAGGAAACACCATGAGGCTGAGGTGGGGAGCTGTAGGTTGGATATCAAGAAAAGGTTCTTCCCCCAGAGGGTGTTTGGGCACTGGAACAGGCTCCCCAGGGAAGTGGTCACAGCACCAAGCCTGACAGAGCTCAAGAAGCATTTGGGCAATGCTCTCAGGCACACGGTGTGACTGTTGGGGATGGTGCTGTGCAGGGCCAGGAGGTGCACTTGATGATCCTGATGGGTCCCTTCCAACTCAGCATATTCTGTGATTCTGTAATAGATCCAACTACTCAAAGGATTTTCTCCACATAGCTGTGTTTCATGTGTAGCCAAAAATCACAGTATTTAAGGAACCTTGGCTATTAGTTAAGAACTTTCATAACTGAATTTATTCTGTACTGCAGTTACCCATTTGCATTTCCCCTAGTGCTCTTCTATAGAAGAAAAGACAGAACAAGGATTAGTTTTGCCTCCAAAATACACAGCACAATTCTCAGTGTTTAGTGGAAACCTTTCATATTGGTCTCAGGATAAAGCGAAAACATTCTGGGCTGTCCAGTCATGGCACTGACATCCATCCCTAGGCATCAGTCAGAGAAATCCCATCTTCTGGGACAGACTCCAGAGAAGGAAATATTGCAATTAACTATGGCTACTTTGCCAATGGTATCTCCTTATGAGATGAGAATTTTTGGAGTTATGTATTTGATTATAGTTAACTACTTATCCTATTACATATAATAACATAACCTGTTATTTTGCACTTTATTACTGAAGTATTTATTAGAATGAATCCATGAAGAACAAATTTTAAAACAGAATTTATACATCAACAGGCATTTTCAGTGGAAAAAAAAACTTCAAATAACATTTTCTTTCGGAAAGAAATACCACAGTGATACTATGCTGTTTTGAACAGGTCTAGATTTTTTTATTTTCACCTCTTTCATGTAAGGCAACAAAAATTTAGATTACAATCTCAGATGATCATTAATATGTCATTGTACAAAATCATATTTCTCCAGCACCTAAAAACTGAATTTTAAAAAATTTAACTTTTGGGGAGTTTAAAATGAAGCAAAATATCCTGATCCTGCTTTGCTACTCAAAGTACTCCATGTCAAACCTGACACACTCAGTGGAATCCCCTGTGCCAAGGCTTTGCTGTGGGTTTTCAGCAGCCTCTGAAGCACGTCCTGGGTGCACAGTCAGCCAATATCCCAAAAGCAGCAGCAAGGACGCTGAGATTTTCCTCCTGACAATGGACTTTACCTTTCAGCTGCCCACCTCACTTTATGCAACCTACAAGAGTTAAAAAAGATCTTACTTGGCAAACCTGTCTTGAAGTCCTGTGCCCTCAGTGCAGCCAGGCAGAATGTCCATCCTCCAGGACCTTGGGTCTCTTGAGGTGTTTCAGCTAACAGAGAGCTTTCTTCTCCTTGGCTCGGGAAAGCTGGAACTGGTGAGAGGCAGTACAAAAGGCAAAATACAGTGTACAAAATAACAGCATCCAAGACAGAGAACTGTAATGAAAACAGCTGTGAGGATACATACCTAAACACAGAGTTTTACAGCCCACTGAGCCAGTAAGAGAACACCAGAGAAATATATTAAAAGGGTAACACAGGGGCAGGTAAGATATATTTTGCATTTTGAAATTTTAAACTGATCACCAAAATCAATTACAGGAGAGAATAAGGTTAAAGAAATAGGGTTTTTGCAAATATCAAACAAAAAAGAAAGGTGGAGAGGAATACCAGTTTTTCCATTCTCCTGGGTACCCACAACTCTAATTTTTTTAGGAAGAAGTTTCCAGACTGAAAAGACAGCCTTGTTCAACTCTGGCCCTCAGTTTCAACTGCAAATCAAACTAAACAGCAAAGAAAGAACACATTAAATTTTTCTTCCCAGCTTCTATGAAGGGGTGGAGAGTCAGAAAAGAGAAACATGGTGGTGATGGGAGCTGAGCCAGCAGCTGAAACACTTGCCAAGTAACCCTAGAGCTCTTCTTCAACAGGGAAACCTGCAACCACTGTGTATCATCCCCTGTGCCTCTTCCCTGCTCTAAATGGACATTTTTGTCTGTGGAAAACCTGTGGCCAGAAGACAGTGCAAAGTCACAGGGTCACCACTCTGTGATACCCTTCTCTGGCTGATGACCTTAAAGTTGTGGAATAGTCCTGGAGACATGGAAAAAAGCATTAAGAAGAAATCTTAAAAAGCAGAGCTAGAAGAAAAGCAAAGATTCAGAATTATTAAGGCATTTCCTCACTATAACATTTCTACATTTAAGCAATATCAAAGCAGCCTGAAGGCCCATGGTATATCTTCCTAGCACCATTTTTCAGTAATTTTGGACAGGTGTGCCTTGACGGAGAACTCACAAAAATCTGCCTGCCTTCTGCAGCTGTGGTGCATATGAACACCCATGACCTTGTTAAGTCACAACACTGAGAGCTTGTCTAACAGAAAGATATGCTGAACTGTTAAGGACTCCCACCACAGCCTTCCAGGCCTCTAGAACAGGCAGAGAGGAATAAAGGGCCCACCAAAACCAACCATAGAGAGTTGCTGTTGGAAAGCCCATGTCCAGTGTGGCGACATCGTCTCTCTACTGGAAGAGACCCAGATGTCCTCCCATTAACAGACACCAGTTTCTTAGGATGGTTTACAGGGAGAGCTGCACTATCCTTGAGAAGTTCACCAAGCTAACACATCTGCCTGACTCAGTGATAAGGAAAAGCTACTGAGTTTCTGTGAGTTTGCCTCGTAGCTTCAGTAGAAGTGGGAAGTTCAGCCAAGACCCTCGTGTTCCGACTAAAAAAGCTTTTTTGTATGCTTTTACTTGTGTCTCTTTGTTTTAATGAGAAGATCAAGAAGCAGCAACGCCAGCACTGGTTGTAGTAGCAGAAACAAAAAGAATTGGTTAGAGCTTTTGTCCAGGTCTTGTTTCCATGTGGGTTCTCTGATGTTTAATGAGAGTTGAACTCGTATTACCAGCCTTTTCCTTGGAAGAGATTGTCTTCTTCTTCACTCCCTCTGCCTATTTCAACAAAAATGTAGCTCTGTTATCTGTAAGACGTCATCAAACCAACTCAGTCAAATTGGCCACTAATTATAAAAAGTATTAGAGAGAGATGGCAAGTAGGGTACACAGTAAATGCACAGAAAATCTATCTCCACTATTTTCCCCTTCTTCTTCCTACAGATGTGTGGTAGGCTTGCAGTCAGAACACCACCACCAGGTAAAGGGATCCTGTAAAAAGAGGGAGCTCTTTCTCTTTGCTGCCTCAACAAATTGCTCTCCACAGCCAGAGACAGCTTCTGCCCATATGACCTCGCAGCCGTTTTCAGCTCCTCCCTCCATCCAATTTGCCGCAGCACAACAAAGCACTCCAAAAATAACATTTATTTTTAAAAACTGGAAAATGGCACAAACCACCCCAAAGGAGAGAATGACAACGGCATGAGTTCAGCGCGGCCTCATGAACTGCCGCTCCTGGCCAGGGACAGGAAACTGGAACCTCATGGAAAGAGACTGGATGGAAGCAGAGCGAAAGGAAGTGCCAGGAGCCGCGGCCACCGATGGCCAAACGCTGCCGAAAGGATAGGCCAGCCGGCTGGGAGAGCGCCAGGACTGTGTCACAGCTCTGGATCTGTAAACCCCTGGGCTCTGGAAGTCTGCACGCGCAACAGGCTGGAGCGTGCACACTAAGCAAGGAGAAATTTAAAGATGAGGAACATTTCCAAATGACAGCTTTAAAGTTGGGGATCAGCAGAGACTGAACATCTGATTTCAATTCTAAATGATTTCTGATTAGCCAATGTTGATGCAGTACCCCAAATATAGTTTCTGTTCAAAACAGCATCCCTCAGTAATGACAGAGCTGGTATGTATGGACTGCTAAACAAAGGCCACACCACCACTGCTTAAGGGACTAGAAGTTGGACCAGGCAAAGGAGAAATAAACTAAATCATTTTCATTGAACAGGCAGAGCCAGATTTGCCACTACCTTACCTCTTGTACAGCCACTTAGATCATGTGTAAGGTAACTTTCATGAAAATGGAGTTTTAAGTGCATAATAAATACATCCAGAAAAACTCCTTGCCTATGAAGAAGGGAAACTAATTTGTTAAGTAATAAAAGATGAATGCTAAATTGTAATGCTGAAATGCAGACAGGTTTTCAGAAGCAGTACATTTTTGATGTAATATTTGAAAATGATCAATTCAAATTCTGCTTTTGAAAAATTTTCTGAGCTTTGATCTTGCTCCAAGTTGAGTCCAGAATGACTATTATATGGCTGACATTAAAAGTGTCAGGACAAAGTGATTTATAATGGAAACACAGAAAATAAATCACTATTTGAGAACTTTTTAACACACCACAGATTAGAGCCAGAAGGCCAGACTAAGTTGTCACTGAGTTTGTAAGCTTTCCTGCTGCAGCTGAGGACCACAATACACAGAAGAGCAAATTCAGTTAATGAACTCAATCAGATACACACAATGACCTGTGCCTTCCTTGGAGAGGCACTTAAAAATTATGATCTACACAGACATCAACATGACCACAGTCAGCGACCTGCAGCAAACCGAGAAGCCGGGCTGCTCTGGCTGCAGCGCAGATGCGTGCACCAGGGCCCTGCTTGGTGAACGCAGACCAAGATATGTGACCATATCTGACCACCAAACTGAGCAGAGCCATTAACATCCTGAATTAATGGGCTTAGTGGTTTTCAAATGAGGTATTTCCATGATGGACGTGGTGTGGATTCAGCAAAGTCTGCCCTTTAACAAATACAGCTTTGGTTTCAAAGATTTGGTTAGGCTTAATACCATTAGGGAACCACTACTGATTTTATGCTGTTGTTGTTACTGGTTCAACTATCGATTTCTGAACCAAAAATTGAAGACAGTTGGCGTTACCAAGAGTCAAGGTTTAGGAATGCAAAAGCAAATCCAAGGTACAGATGAGCTTCAGATGTAGACAGGCTTCACAGGGTTTCATAGGCCTTCCAAAGTTTGTCAGGTCACAGAGGCTTTTCTTTTTGTGGGGTGTGCATGAGCCCAGTTTCTTTGCGTTTGTTGTTTCTTTTAAACACTTGTGACCTCAGCCAGAGCAAGTGGAATTGATATGAGCAATTACTGCATGCAAGAATTAAAAAAACCTCACGCCAACCTTGGTTTATTGTACCCCATTTACAAAAAAAACCAAAACAAATGAAAATTATCTTCTTAATCAGCAATCCCTGATCACCACCACGTGTTTTTAAAACAGCCAGATGTTCACAGTTTAAGAAGCCAAATAATACTACTGCTTTCTTGTAAACGTTAATGGTGAAAGAACAATAATAATGGTTTTAGTCAATCATCATTAGTACTTGAAAGTACAAATATAAATTAAATAAGACTCAAAAAACTTGTACAATAGAATCTGCTATAAACAAAGCTAATTAAAAAGAACTGCTCCCAACCTGGGTTGTGGGTTTCATCTTGTTTTAAAATTAAAAGCAGTTACTTATTTTTCTGAAGCATCCAAATGAATGTTCATATCCAGATGTCCTTACAAAGAAACACGGTCTTCATTCTTTTCTCATTTTTTAAGCTGTTTATATAATATTTTACTTCTGATTGTCCTTTTCTTCCTTGGCAATCCTCTTTGTCACACCACTGAAATACTTCTCACGGAAAGAATTGTGTCCCCTGTATGGCATATACTGGCCATCCAACAAGTAAGAGTTCTCATCTTGATCCTGCATGGCACCAGAAGACAAACATTAGACTTGAGGGTAGTGTGTTCAGCATGTATTGAAAAAAAAAGGCTGAAAACCAGACTTTTGCAAACTATGAGGCAGTTAGGTTTTTGTTTTACAGTTCAACAGCACACACTTAAGTCACTGAAAATGTCTCAGCTGACATCACCAGAATCCCACCCTGACACGACCAAATGAGCACAGGTACCATGCACCACACAGGTCGCTTTCCAGAAAAAATATTTTCAGGAGAATTCAGTCAGTCAGAGGTCTGTGGAAGGCAGGCACAAACAGAAGAGGAACACAAATGGTAAAATGAGTTCCTACAGTTACTGAAGCACATTCAGAGATTTTTTTTTCTGTGCAACATTCATGTATTTCTGAAAGTTAAAGTTGACACAGTAAATCCCCACATATAATACCTATTTGACACCAGCCAAAAACACAGTTTAGAAAATTGGCCCACTGTATATACAAAGGTTTAGTTCATCATGTACTATGGCTTTATACAATTAAGATACTTGTCAGCTAACATTAGCAACGCTGTAAGATAAACATTACATCAAACTTTAATCTGAGTGTTAAAGAAAACTGATGGCAACTTCTAAAAACAGTTTCATGCTTCTGGGTGATGTCAGTTTCTCATTATGCTCAAAAATAGGAAGGAACAGTGAGAAGGAGCCTCACACAGAACAACTAAACAGCACAAGGAGAAAATAAAAACAAACACACAACAGAACCAAGCCTCTATTCTGCCATGTGTTTCTTCTCAGGTTTTTAACCAATGCAGTAACATCGACATTGGTTCACTACCTTAAAACGTTTAGTTATTTGTTCACATTCAAAAATAAAGTTACTGCAGAATGTTTTAGCGTCAGTAGAAACATGGAAGTAGATTTTAGTCAATATTTTCATATTACAAGAGTACTACAATGCAAGGATGCACAGGATCCTAGTGGACAATCTCTCCCTTCAGCTCTTTTGTAGCCTTTTCCAGGTTTTCACCTACGGAGATCAGCACCTCTCCTAGCTCCGGAGATCTTAACGAGCATTCTAAGGGAGTGAAAGAAAAGGTTTTCCAACAAAGCAAGACTTGTGTGCATGGAGAAGGGCCCTCTTCTGGACACAACGAGATATTGCTTCAAAGAAGGTCTCATCTGCTACAAAAGCAGATATCAGGAATGTGACACCAGCTTAAATTAACTTGCTAAATGTTCAGTGCCATGTAGATATCTATTATGTAAAGCATGTACACCAGCAGCAGCAGCAGCAGCTCTATTTAAATACTGCACTGTTGGAAAATAGCAGGAGAAAATTATTTCAGGAAACCCAAAGCAGGCACAGTATCATCTATTGTCTTTTGGTCACCTGTGAGAGACTGCTGTCTCCATGACTGTTCTCAGGCTGATAAACAACAGGCTTTTAACAGGTTTGTGAAAAAAACGAAAATTACAAAATTACTAAGGAAAGACAGGAAATAAGAAGGATTTAAGACACACTCCTCTCACAGCCAGCCTATATCCATTTCTCCAGCCACTCTTGGAAAAAGAGCACTTTTGTCTTGAAATTCCAGGTCAGAAATCCTTCTTTGACATAAACATACGTTTTTATATCATTGGGATGCTTTAACAAGAATGCTATGTAATTCACTTATTTTGAGAAATGGATGGGATATTTGACCCTAATGAATAATGATACATAGATCAAAGATACTCTAAGATAAAAATGAATCCCACAACCTCTAAGAGGTCATGCATGTGTACAACATTCATCTTGATTCCATAGGAAACAAAATGCTGATTCTTGGGGAAGGGATGAAGGAGTAAATGCCCTTTCCTCTGCCACCAAGCTGGTTAGGGCAAAGAGAGGATGTGCTGTGTAGAAGAACAAACTTCAAGCAGAGCACAGGTGTAACAGAGGCATCTGCATGCACCAGATGGAAACAGGTTTGGTGCGCCACTCCACAGCAGAATCTCATCTCGAAAATCCAGGCCTCATCAGGAGCTCTGCAAACACTGCTCATTAAATGAGAGATCTGCAGTCAGGCATGGATTTCATAGGAGAGATTACAAAGGAAGTTCCTGGCCCACATCACAATAATTCCAGTCTAAGAGGTTCCACTCACTACCTCTTACCTGTATACAGGCATGACTGTCTAATAAATATGGCAATTGCTTAAAAAAACAAAAAACAAACAAAAAAAACCACCCCAACCAAACAAACACCAACAAGAATGGGAATTGCTGCTTAAAAAAGGGAAAAGAAAATAAGAAATCCTGAACTACCTGGGGATACCAGTCACTACTGAGATTTACTAGTCAAAGGAATTCTAAAGGCAGCGTGAGGACTGATCAGAGTAACTGAAATTCTTGGATTTCAGTTGGATAAGGACTTTCAAACAAATTCTAACTTACACTATTGTGTATCAAGGAGCTGAATGGGCACAATCTGAACACCAGGGATAGGCTTCCTTTAACTCTATAGAGAAAATTACTTGTAAAAAAAACCCTTAACAATTTATTTGTTTTAAAGACAACATTAAAATAGGTTTTAGAGATCTCTAATAAATAATGAAGAGGCAGAAGAGAAGGAGATGCTGAATGCTAACAAGAAAATGTTTTTCTTTATATCTTGGGAAATATTAAGTGACTTTCTAAAGATTCTTATTCATCTAGCATGTCCCAGTCCAGCTTCAGGGTAATTACCCACATTTAGTTTTTGTTTTTAAAAAAAGTCTTCCTAACCTTATCACTGTTTCCTACCACTCCACATCTGGTGCTGGACAGTAGCTATAGAAACCACTTGTGCTAATGTTATACAGCTATAAACAAAAAGGAGCAGTTACCAAACCAGAGACAGCAGGGTCACACACCCAGGAACAGACACTGCTAAATTCAGCAGGAAAAATTCTACACCAGTAACAACTCTGGAGTGACCATGTGACATGGAAATTCAGCAGGGTGGGTTTGTGTGCCTGGTGCTTCACAGTCCCTCCCTGGACAATCATATGCTCAGAGTTCAGTCAAGTTTTCTGATACATCTTACTACATCATTTCTAGGCATCTCTCTTGGCATTAAAAAAGTGGGATGCCTCACAGGGAGGGAGGAACACAGGGCTCTGGGCTGAGGCTGCAGCTGCCCCTGCCCCACCCATGCTGGGTTTTGGGGTGACAGAGTGCAGCTGTGCCGTGGGGGATGCAGCAGGGGAGTGTGCATTTTGGGGTCAATGCTGTGCTGGGGGAACAGTGGCAAAAGTTGTGTGAAATGGTAATTAAAAAAACCAAAAAGTCTTCTGCTCCTATTGTGCACATGCTGGAAGAGCATATTCATATCAACACTGAGTTCAGGAAGAAATCTTTTCCAGTTGGCACAATTTCACTGTGAACTTAAAAAGAACAGACTGGATGCTTACAAGACAGTAAGTTATATACCAGGTTTGTGAGGTTTTTAATAGAACAAATGATCTTCATGCTTATGACAGATCAATACTGCACCTAGACATACGCACTTTCTGCCTTCACTTTGATCTCCTTTTTATTACAAACCATTCCAATCAAACTGCACCACCAATTGCAACAGTTGACTGAATTCATCTCCAGTTAAGAGTTTATTTAAAGTGTTAATAGTGAAATCAAAATTTGCTGTGAAATCTGCAATTCCTTATTGGTGGCAGACAGTGGGGAAACCGAAGAACTGCATAGTAACAGTAACATGATTTGTAACATTTCTCATCAATTTGCAAGCCCTGCACTAAACTGAATTAAAAAGCAACTGAGGGCCTGTTACAAACCAGCTTAGTAATGCAGACAGGAACCGTCTGGAAACATAAATGTTAGGTATATCCATAAAAATTCACTCTTTCACTTAGGAAAAAGAAAAGTAGACAAAAGTATAACTACTGAATTTTATGGTCCTATCTGGCAAGAAGTATCCAATTCAAAAGTTGCTCAGGATATTAATAGAGGAAAAAACATGTTCCAGGTAAGGGACACTGGGGTGGGGAAATCCTTGACACCAAAACAAGGTCCTAAACCAAGAAGGCACTGGCTAAGGATTCAGTATGAATTTTGTTCTCTAGACAAGTTTTGCATCATCAGAAACAACACATGGGTTCTGGTATCTTTAAATTATCTAACACACATCTGGAATACTGAATGTAAGCACTTGCACAGTCTTATCTAAGCGGCAAGCCTGCCAGCTAGTCTCAGGTGCTCAGAGCTAAGCACTTCCAGACATGAACCTGCCAATCCATGAACTGAACAACAGCTGATGCACGAGAGGAGAGTAACAAATGATGCAAGTCTGTTTGCAGAAGGGCTGATATATTTTTTAGGTTAAAATACGCTACCCTACAGCACTGGTAGCAATAAAACTGCTGTCAAAAACCTCCCTGAACACCCTGAGACGCACATGTCAGAAACTTTCATCATCTACCCTGCTGGTTTGCTACTGGTGAAGTTGGCAGCTCCGAGGCAGAGCTCCACACAGAGTGTTTAGAGAAGTTCAGGTGTTGCTTGAGAACTGCAGTCACCAGGAGCATTATGGAGGCAGCACTGAACCCTCTGTGTCAGCAGTGCAAGCACCACACAGACACAGCAGCCTGACTGCATCTCCTGCCATCTGAAACAGCTCTTCCAGCTGACAAGCAGTGCACTGAAAACACTTGCTCACTGCGTGCATTTTCATTAAGAATTTGCCTCACATATGTTTAGCATTTCTTTTAAGAGTAGTAAGAGAAAGAAGCAGCAAGAATGGAAAGGAGATCTGAATGCCATATTCCCTGGTCCCAATGCCTCAGGAGAGGCACTTAGGAGAGGCACTTCTGTTTTGTCACAAAACAAAAACAGAAAAAGATCCAGTGCGCTTTGCTGTACTTGTCACAATTTCAATATTATTCCAAAGAATAAAATGTACCACTCCAAAGATGAAGTAACAGAATTAAAGGTCTACCTGTACTGCAAGACCCACAAAGATATTTAGTATTTACTTGGGCATTGAGACACACTTTGCAATCAATGAAAACTTAGGCATTAAGGCAAAGTCTCTGTGGATGGGATTTACAAGTAACCGTAAGTTCAAAGATTTTTTTCACACTATCAAGGGACTTTTTCAGGATGAAGAGTTTACCAAAAAACTGAGAATAAAAAGGAAGAAACCAAAACCAGAACAGTCCCTTAAATCACTGCTCAATTTCACAAAAGCTCTAACTCTGATCATAAAAACCAAAGTGTGACAGAAACAAGGATCAAATGCTGAATAGCACGAACTTGTCACGAACACAACAGCTACTATTTTACACAATATGATCAAGAACTCAAGCTTACCTTGAATTCTTTCACCTTTTCCATGGTTATGAGGCGCCTTGATGTGTGGCTGGAAAGCAGCTGCTCGCAGTTGCTAATAAGTTTCAGGCACGGATGGCGGGGAATGATCTCTTCTGTGTATCTGGAAGAAATAATCATTCTTAGTGCTGTAGGCTCATGAAGTGGAAGACCTGCATCTGAAACAAAATTCTTACAGACACTTCAAAAAAAGGTTCACAGTTGAAAGTTGTTATGCACTTTAACCTGATTAAATAAATTCAGATATTGCTGTTTCAGAGTTTTGACATCCTATATTCCAATCATCTTGACATGCAGTGTGTAGAATAAATTAAAACCCCACAGTAAAGAGACACTCCCCCCCATTTTCTGCATGTATTTAAATTATGTTAATGTATGTACATCTGGTCCTGCCTGTATAATTTCAAGTACAAAATACCTCAGCCAACCAGGAACAACAACTTAGAGCTGTGATTTTAAAGATATTTTCCACAGTTAACATATATGAAGTTGCAGGAATAAGAGACTTTACTCTAGCTCCCTAAAAGGAGATCACAGCGATTCAATTTCAAATCTTATTAAGCCAGCTCTTATTAGACAGTAACATTCCTGAACTTCAAAATTTGGTATTACAAATTTATCTCATTGTAATTACTTTTTCTAATGGCAAAAAAAAATCCACCATCATTTAACATTAGATAGGATTTAATTATAAACCAACGTTGCTACTATCTACAGAAGCAAGAGTTACAGTGTTTTAAATGCCCCACCTCATAAACACACTAGTTTCTACATAGAAAGTGCTTTCTCTAAATTGCCTTCAATCCTTCTATTTCTCCAAATGCTGAAAGAGAAATTTAAAGATTTAAGAACTTTGCAGGGGACTAGAGCAGCAAGAAGTATTAACCTAGCTAGTATGATAAATATGAGATAGCCTTCCTATATACTGAAACATAGATCAGCCATTTATTCCTAGATTTTGTAATAAGCTTTCATGTAATAGTTATGAAAAGATAACACAGAAAATGGGTTCTGATATTGTTAGGTATGATTTTGTACAAAACACCTGCTCCTATGATTTTCCAGTGTTTGGGGGTTAACAGAAGTCAGACACTGAAACAGAACCAAACAACTTCGCATCTTTGACTTGAATTTAAAAAGTACAAAGGAGATTCACATTTTTCCTGTAAAGAGGTGGATTTTCTGAATGAAAGTAAAGGTGTTGGTCTGGATTAAAATAGGATCTATCTAGGTGCTGGTGGAAAATTTGGCATTTCTTAAGATAACACAGAGCTGTTAAACAAGTAACTCAATCCCAAATACAGATATGCAAATAAGAAAAAAACCCAAACAGTACTGCCTCTTTGCTTTCCTCCAAAATTTCCAGACCATAAAACTACTTTTCAGTCACTTCTCATGTAGAAACAAGTATCTGCTTCAGCTAGATGAAGTCAGAACATGCTTTGGCAAAGAAGAATGAAATTAATTCTCAACTGCTTTTTCTATTACACGAGACTTTTGATGCATCCAGTACCACCAAACGGTCTTTCTTTTACAAAGGTAGGCACCTGGCCACAATATTTAAAAAGTTCCTCTCAATAATCATACAGGAGGCTGACTTTAATGGAATTAGAAGAATTTGGACTCAACAATGATTTCAATGTCTGACTGAAAGAGTAAACTCTGCAGTGAGATGCTATCTTGAAGAGGGAGAGATCACTATCACTTTGTTAAAAAGCCTTTTCTGTTAGCATTAATGAATGTATTTCTACATTCTTTCAGGTAAAACTCAGAAACATGTCAAATAAGAAATACAGAAGCGATGATTTTAACAGACATCCAATCCAATAGTTTCACCTTTAATTTAAGGTAATATACAAAGATCTCAAATAATGAAACTCAAGGCAGGTGTTGCCAAGGGATATTGATAATGCAACATGTTAGTAAAAAACCTCCCCACTTAATTGCTTTAATGCCCCCTGTTCATTATTACAGCTGAAAATAAAGTGACTATCCTACTATTCTATGCTAATTTTAGCAACTTTAGTATTTCAAGTCATAGTATGAGGTACAAATTCACTTTTAAAAAGTCATCTCAACTAGACCTCCCCAAAACAGCAACTAAAGCTGATCCCAAATATGCAGTTCCCAAGTTATCTGAAGTGAAACACTTTACACTGCTCTAGTGAGGAAGTATGCTTTTACAAAAGTTCAATGAGCAGAAAGAAAAACACTGGTATCTTGATGAATAAAATAAATTCAGTAATTCCAAAGAGATTTTATTGACATGAAAATCTGCTATAATACTACGAATGGCATTCATTGCTGTGTCTCTGAATTGTCTTATGAGAAAAAAGGCCTAAAATATCACTTTTATCATTTACTAAAAAATACAAACTACTAAATGCACTCTCCTGTTACAGAAGCATGCAACAGAAATGGCTCCTTTTGATTTCCAAACTGGCAAAACAGCATGAGATATAAGGGACTACCCAAAGACATATGCAAGTGAAACTAGGGACAACCACCACTTTATAGAACAGTATAGTTTGCTGTACACAGAAATACAAGACACTGTAGAAACTACCTTCAGAGCACATTTGTGTCTGGAAGACACCTTGAAACAGCTACTGTACATCAACTCCTCACTTTACAGTAAAAAATCTTTACAAAAACAAAACAAAAAAACCCCCTCAAACCTAATGTAGGAGATGCTGAAATAGGGCATGCGAACAGTTGGTTTTCCTTACGCACTCAGCTCCGATCCCAGGCTGCACTCCTGAGCAGACAGATCCCGCAGTCTCTGCTGGCCTCTCCCGTCCCTAACAGGGCTGCCCTTGGATGTTCCTGCCTCTCACTGCCATCTCTTGGTCATTTCACTTTTATTTCTCAGAAGAAAGCTAAATCAGTAGTGCCAAACCCCAAAGAATCAAGGATGATTTTTACATACCTCTATCAACTACTTTAGCAGAAACACACACTAATACCAGCCTACTGTCTTAGAAGTCTATCTGCACCTTGAAAGTCTAACTTTTTAAGCTTAAATCTCAACCCACATGACATGCATTTACAACGATATGCAAAGGCATTTTCTGCTTGGTAACAGTCAGGAACTATCTCCATTCAAAAGCTCTGTTACAAAATGTGGCCTCCCTCATAAAAAGTTTTAAAATACAAAGTCTGGGCATTACCCTTAAGTGCTGGTACTATGGAAGCTCCAGATATACTATGTTCCAGAGGAAAGCACAGAGAGAATGCAGCATCCCTTCTGACACACAACACAGCAGAATTCAACAGTACATACTCAGGCCTGTATATGGGCAGCCAGTAAACCAATCTTCCTCCCATCACCAGATGTTCTGCCCCAAACTTCAAGAGGTCAAAAAAGATGTCACTTAGATGGTAACTGGATGAAACGAAGAAGTGATTTTCTGTGCTGAACAAAAAACATACAAGTGTAAGCAAACAGAGCACAGGTAAAAATTACATTTTTAATAATAGTAATTTAAAAAAAATGCACTAAGCCACAAAAGCACTTTCTGAGCTTTGCAAAGCTACCTAAGACAATGCAGGAGTACAACTTCTACTATGAGGAATACAAATTCACAAGTTCCTCCCTGTCTCTTTGACTTCCACATGTACTAAAGACGAATCTAAAGCACCACAGGTATGCTGGCAATAGTTATTTTGCACAGCATCTTTCTAAAGGAATTAAAGTCAGAAGGCAAGGCACTGGAGAAGCCATGGGACATCTCTGAGAAGAAAGGAGCAGTGGAAAATGCAAAAGAAAAAAAGTTCAAGGTAAAATTACAGGTATTCCATTTTAGAGTGACTTCGCAGCCTGCAGGGACCAAAGAAAACTTTTCTGGAAATACATGCTAATGGTGGCTCAAAGAGGTGAGAAACAGGATTCAAAATCTGAACACATGCAAAGGATGAGGGAAAACAAAACCAAGAAGGCTTCAGGAAGTGACATAGTGGTTTTGCAAACAGAACAAAAAGGGTTTTTCCTCTTTAATTATAATTGCTACCATTTTTAAACTTCTGACAGCCAACCAAGATGTAACAAACATTCTAAAGCTGGAACTGGGTTTCCATTAAGACATTTATATTCTATAGCAGACAAGACAGCTTCCCTACCTTCTTTCAACTGATTTAACTGCTTCCTTTTGTGATCCCATTCTGCGAGGAGCTTCTCTGATACCATATGGTGCTAGACAAAGCACAAGCAAAATGCAGAGATGAGAACCTCACACTTTGTCCAAATAACACACAGTTACACCATACATACACAATTGTGCACAAACTGTGGCTTATACAAGATTAAAAAAATGGAAAGTTTTTATGAAGTGAAAGTCAGTAAGGGAAATTTCTTCAAGATCTGTTGAAAGTTTCTTGCTCTAAAAAGTATTTTTTTAAGTGTTTCAAGGAAGTCCCTTCAGCTGTAAGAGCTACACGTTTGCTACATGACAAAGGACAAATGCTGTGTCTTTTCTTAAAAGATATTCCTTAGATTTCCAACATGTGATAAATAATCCCATCCTTTTTTGTTTGATAGACATGAATATGTCCCCTATAGCACTTAACTAACCTTTTTCAAAATGAAATTAAGTATATCAGAATTTCTTGCCAGCAACATTACACAAATGGTAATTCTCACATGTAAGAACCGGAGAAGGTTTTTTCTCAAACCTTTTTTGCACGTTTCTAATAGCATAACGTAGTTACTTGTATGTTAATTTGTGAGACTTGTTTCAGCATCACAGAAGCACCAATGTAACCACTGCAGAAGTTTTAGAAATGGTTTCACTCTCAGTTCTAAGTCCGTGTTAATATTCTACACTGTCTTGCTGTTGAACAGGCCAAATAAAAACTAGCAAGCAACCCACAAAGAAAAGTCACACTTCCTATTCCTAATTAATATGAGTGTGTCATTGTAAAAGCCAGCACTTGAGATCAGAAATTGCTGTTATCAAGGTCTTCATTTATCCCCTTAGTTTCTTTTCCCTCTCTTACAAGACAAATAGTGTTTAGTAAATAAGTTTCTAAAAAAGCAGAGGATCCTTTCAAACTGCTCCTGCTTCCAGTAGCTAAGTGTATTGGAAACACATTAAAATTTCTCTTTGGAAGCATTACATTAAGCATTAACACAAGTCTCCCAAAGTCCATCAGAGATGCATGGCAGACTCCAATGTGCTGCCAACAGCAACACAGACCACTCTGGTAAGAAGTCTCTATGCATCAATAATGTGATGCTTTTACTGAAAGAGACTTCTTCAAAGGATGATTTTCAGCCACATTGATTTCTGCTGGTGAACATAACATTCTCTCCATGGGAGAAAGTGTTATTGTCAGCTTTGTTACACATTAATAACTATCCTTAAAATAAATGCAGAGGCATCAAATGCAGATCCAATTTCCACAGTGCTGCTCTCGACAATCATCTTTGGCAACATGGAAGCTGCAGACCTGAGCACTGGCCCAGGCATTTATCAATGTACACAGGCAGTAATGTTTCAGTCACTGTTACTGGGCAATGAAAGGCAGTAACAAACTCACGGTCTGTAATGATTGCATCAAACAACATCCCTTTTCTCCATACTGGCCTTGAAAAATCAGCAACCAGCGCATCGAGGTAGTATTTCTCTAAACCATACTGTCGGAGGTTTGCTCTGATATTTTCATCTGGCCCTCTCCATTTCTGGTTTTTTCTGCTTGCCTTGCCTGGGAGGGGAAGGGGAATGGAAAGAGAAAAAAAAGGATACTCAAGAAACTATTATATAAGAAGAGCTTTCATATAGTCTACCATTTCATTTAAAGGAAAATAATCAAATGTCACCAAAAAAACCTGCCAAAAGTACTCACAAACTTCACAAGTAGTAATGAAAAATGAAAATACAAGAGAAAATTTCTGCTGCACCATCTGCACAGAGTGTCAAAGAATACATTTACAAAAATGTTGGTTTGCAAGATGCTCTCTCCATCCACCAGTCACAACCCTGTCCACTAGGTCAAATATAATTTGTATATTTGCAGAGAACAATGAGATAAGGGCTCCTGACTTAGGTTTTTGTTATGGTTTAGGCCTGGCAAAGCCAAGGCCCCCATAAATATACCTTTTACCTGATATCTGCTGTGAGATGTGGCCAGGAAATAAGCAAAGCAGGCTCCAACTTAAACATAAAGAGAAGTTTATTAACTAAACTACACACACAATTACTAAACTACACACACAATTACTAACCTACACACACACAGGGAAAAAAACAAGGAGAATGAAAACTACACAGAAACACTTCCTTATCCTCCTCCCACCAAATTCCCAAACACATTTACATTTCCCAAAAAATTATCCACACTCGGTCTGGCACCACCCTTTGGAAAAAAAAATCAAATCTTCAGCTCATAAGGGATAGACGGAGTCCTTCCTTGTGCCACGGACTTCTTGTCACAATCAGCAATCCGCCCGGTATCTTGCTACCTCGTGACATCTCCTTTCCATGCCGAGGTGCTCTCACCACCAGGCATGGGATGGGGCAGGGGCCTGCCTTCAGGGCCTTTTAAGAATGCCTCGTCTCGTTCCAAGCAGAGTACAGTCACAATCCTGGGACCTCTGTCCCCCCCATGTCTTCTATACCCCCTGGGGCCGAGGGGTCTCAAAACCAAACTCTCTTGACGCCGAGCCTCCGCTTCCCCCTGCAATACAGCCTCTGCCTCACCAGGAAACAGTCCATGGAAATACAACAAAAAAGAGTCCAGCAAAAACTGCCACTCCATCTTCCTCCATTCCTTCAACATCTCTCTTCTCCCTTTGCCAGACCCTCCTTACTGGCCTAATTTTCTTCCTTCATCTTCCACTCCTGTCCCTTTCCCAGGAAAGGCAATGTTCTGCGAAGCCTTCATTCCCCAAAGGGTTAAAAGGTCTCCCAGGCGGCCGGACTGCCCGCTGCCCCCCCCTTTCTCCTCCCAGCCGTGCTGCCTGCCGGCACATGATATCAAGTTTCAAGATATACAGTTCGAGCACGGGCTGCATTCTCTGGGGGGGGGGGGAATAAACTGGTCGCTCAAGGGTCTGCCACCCTTCCTCCGAACCCGGGCCTACCGTAGATGGCCCACGTGGCTCTCCCCTCCCCCAGCCCAGCCAGAAACTGGGCCGGGGGAGAGACTTCTTCACGCCGGAAATCCCAAGAGAGCTCCGAAGGCCAAGAGCCCTGCTTTTAACCCCTTGGGTTCGTAGTCTCAAGAGGCGGATCCAAATGTCCCACTGGTCAAACTAAGTGCCCATCTTAAATTCCAATTACCCATTGGTAATCACAGCAAAACAAAATATCCCAGATGTCCCATTTCCGGTCAAACCACGACAGTTTTGAAGAGCTTCCCACATCAGGGGTTAAAAGAGCACACAGCTGTGGTAATGATTATTTGGAACTTTGTTTTGGTCTTCATTATTCTTTTTCAAAAATATTTTCAGCTTAAAAGTAAGATAATATTTTAACTAGCATACATGTAAATTGGTGAATAAAAACTAAGCATGACCAAATAAATCCTGCAAAGATTAATGCTGCTTTAAAATCCACTAAGCATCATCTGCTACTATCAGTCTTCTTAAATTACAGGGGGTAAGATTTCAGTGGCTTCAAAATATGTAACATACCTAATCCATGGATTGTGTTGTAATCTATGTCAGTACCACACACATATGCCCCAAAATGTGCTGAGGAGATCAGAAGGCCACCTAGACAGGGAAGAAAAAAGGCAAAATATAAACTTCTGTCATAAATGTCACCTGCATTACGATTTTTTTCCTTAGGAACTTCAGGAGCCTACAGCAGCAGCACACTAGACCCAAGGAAAAGAAAAACACCCAAAACAAACACCAAAAAAAGAAGTAGAACTATCAACCAGTTAGAATCACTATGTAATTATATCAGACATAATAACACTAAGTCCTTTGTCTGCTCTACATGATTTTCCTTATCTTGCTGTGCCCTATGTCACTCCTCATCTCTGGAGATTGTTCAGGAGTTTTGTTTATGGCTTTCTGTATTTTAAGCAGTAAGATCCTTTAATCATTACATGAACCAAAACTTTTGATTCGACTTTGCAAGGAGCAGAATTTCAAACTGTTGTCAAACAATTGGAAAAATCATCACCAAACAAATGGCAGTTCTGCTGTGTCTGTTTTAAAAGTCAGTTTCTTTAACCGTGTCCAAAAATCAAACTTCTATAAGGTGGCTATTGCCATATTGTAAGAAACAATGGTCAAGAGCCTTACAAATGTAAATATCTGCAGTGTAAACATAAATATCAAAAACATTTCTGCAATAGTTTTCAAGTGTGAAAACTACACACAAATCATTTGTCCGTGAGTAGGCTGCCTGCTTTGTCAGTAGTACTTATTTTGTAATAAAACCAGTTTTTTTAATTACTGCTATTGCAACATGCCTCCCTAATTAAAAAAGAAAAGAACACCATACCAAAAGTGTGATTTCCTCTTGAAACTGACAACAGTTGAACAGCCCACAGAAAAGAATAAATGACATTAACTCTTTAACAGCTCCCAAATGAAACAACAGACAGACTGCAGGAGATGGACAGATACCTGTGAGGCCAAGTCTTTATTAATTAAGAAACTTTGTGGCTACCAGAATGGTTTAGAACAGAACAGAACTGAGAATAAGGCTGCGAACGTCACTGATGTCAACAGTCCTGCTAAATAAAGGGGATGACTGCTGCAGGATGAAGGGCTGACAATGTGCAAGCTGGCTGAGAGGGTGACACCAGTTCTCCCATTCACCAGGAGCATGGAAAGAGGCATCCCAGGTGGCTCCACTGTCCTGAGCACCAGCAAATCCCTAATGTGCCCTGTGTGCACCAGAGAACTTCTGCACCATAGGGTAATGAACTCTACCAAAACCAAAGGTGAGGAAGAACAAAAAAACTTTTAATATTCCTCTGCTTTTTCTCATGAAATGGATCAGGGAAAAACAAGGTTACTCACCCCAAAGGAATCACCCATTTCCCTTCTTGGCTGCAATCCCTCAGAACAGATGGGCAGTACATCCAGAGGGTCAAGACAAATTTAGCTAGCCCTGACCCCAAGTATGGCATACCACCCAGTCCTACAAAAAAAGTAAGAAGAGAGTCCTTTGCCCATCTAAGAATATTTTTAATTACAGGCAAAAAAAAAAGAAGCTTGGAAATCATGAATTTACAGCTTTTAAAAAATCACAGCTTGTACTAATTCAATTGTGTTCACGCAGAAGTTGCACAGGCACTTACATACTCTTACATAGCCAGCCCTTTGATCAGTATATGAAAGGGTTAATCAGGGAATCACTGTCCCTGGTGACCTGTAGCAGAATGATGATGGCACAGAGCTTCATGCCTTTCTACCACACACTATTCTCCACCTCTTCAGCACAGACAAGGTCTGGTCCTCCAGGATGTCAAAGAAAAACATCCTGTCATTTACAACTATGCAGTATCACAAATATCTTCCAAAAGAACAATCAACAAGATTATGAGATACCCTGAATTGACTGCCTAGGAGGAAGCACAAAATAGTCAGGTAAAAGACTTGATTTATTCTTCTAGAAGCTTCCAGGCTTCCTTCTGCCCAACGCTGAGGAAAGAATATCTAAACATGGATGGAAGTTAAAAACACAGTCTTGGTCACTCCAATTGTGCTTGACAATAAAAAGGGGAATCAAGTCTTCTAAAAGCCAGCCTGCTCAAAGAGCACTTTATATTCCAAGGAAAGCTGCCAACTGTCCATTCTTATACTAACGTGAAAGACTTATGGTTTGGCTCATGCAGCAAAAACCAGTTTGTTTGCAACTAGCAAGAACCATTTTGCAAGGCCATTCTGGTTTATTACTGGTTTACTCTTCACTTTATCAGTGTAAAAAAACAGGCAGAAACACAGACAGGTAACAAAGCTGCACTAATAAAGAAATCTGAACTGCAGTTCTTCAAAATGCTCCTCAGATCCTGAATATATATTTTTCTAAACCCATCAGCTCAAAATGACTGCATCACTCTCAACACCAAACCACTTCCCAGAAACTCCAGTGACAGGGCACCGTAGTACTGACAAGCTCAAAATCTTCTGAAGAGACAACCAAAATTCCTGGGGTTTACTCAAAAGAAGTAAGTGCAAAAGCCACTGTTATTTAGTCATAAATACACTCTACTGACAAATGGCATGCCACCCAGTATCTCCAGCATCCCCTTTAATCTCTACCCTTTATATAATAAATGTCTAACAAAAAAAAAATTAAAATAAAAATTAAAATTAAATTGTAATTTAAACTACTAAGCAATTTGGGGAGGATTTTGTGTATGTTACCTTTCAAACTGAAACACAACATTTATCCTGAATTTCTATAGCTTTCTATCATTTTCATGTGATTTTTCTTCTTCTGTCTTTACCCTTCCTTTTTTCCTTCAATTTTCACTCCCAAGAGAAAGAATGCTCTCAGAGACTTTATTTTATGATTTAAGTTAGCAGATTTTATAAGACAAAAAGCCACAGATGCCAAAATGAAACCAACTGCTAAGAGGTAAATAGAGGGATTTCCTGAACCTTTCAAAGGACAAGCACAACAAAGAGGAGAAAATATACTAAGATGATATTATGCATTAAAAAAATCAGGTCCTATAAGAATAAAATTAAAGATAAAAACACAGAGTTCACCAAACACTTCTGTTTCTGAAAATATCATATGCATGCTCTTTTTCTATGGCACAGAGAAGACACATACTAATAAGAATTTATCCTACCAGTGTAGTCTTCTCTCTCCCTAACTTCTCTGCAGAGATTTTTCTCCATCTTCCCATTAATATAAGTATTTTTAAATTTATGCATTTCACATGTGGTCACCTTGACTAAAGTTTAGCAAGTTGAGCATGAGACAGCAGTGCCCTGGCAGCCAGGAGGGACAACCCTGTCCTGGGGGCATCAGGCACAGCATTGCAGCTGGGCAAGGGAGGGGATGGTCCTGCTCTGCTGTAAGCTGGGATGGCCTCACCTCGAGTGCTGGGGGTAGTTCTGGGTGCCACAATACAAAAAAAGAGATTAAATTATTAGAGAGTGTCCACAGGAGGGCAACAAAGAAGATGAGGGCCTTGAGGGAAGATTTATGGGGAGCAGCTGAGGTCACTTGGTCTGTTCAGCCTGGAGAGGAGGAGACTGAGGGGAGACCACAGTACAATTTACAGCCTCCTTGCTGGGGAAAGAGGAGGGGAAGGCACTGATCTCTTCCCTGTGGTGACAAGTGACAGGACCCAAGGGAATGGCCTGAAGCTGTATCTGGGAAGTTTTAGGTTGGATTTTAAAAAATACCCAGAGGTGGTTGGGCACTGGAGCAGGCTCCCAAGTGGTCACAGCCTGACAGAGTTCAAGAAACATTTAGACAATGCTCTCAGGCACATGGTGTGACTCTTGGGGATGGCTCTGTGCAGGGCCAGGAGTTGAACTCTGATGATCCTTATGGGTTCTCTTTAACTCAGGATACTCTACAATTTGATTCTAGGATTCTAGGACAGAAACACAGCCTTTGCTACATTTTGGAAGAAACTACTCTAGGTAGCTTAACACAATATACTCTGCTATAATTATATGACACAAGCTGACACACTAAATCAGCTATTTCACATACAGCTGAGTTTCCCTGAGGCAAAAAGTACTTCTGTGCCATGCACAGCAATATGTGGAGTAAAAGCTCCCCCTCCTGGCTAAGACAAGGAAAGCTCAGCTGGGGAAGTGTAGCTTGTGTGAGCCATAATATCCTGAACACAGTCTTTGCACAACCAAGTGATCCTCATGGAATGCTGCCATGACCTCACTATTGCTATGTTGTGTTGTATGACCAGAAATGCCCTCAGCACTCCCCTAAAGAGCCAGCTCTAAAATGCTGCTTCTTAATGTCCCAAAAGTGATTGCAGCAAGTGCTTAGCCAAATTCAAATTCCTGGTCACTTTGATCTTAAGCAGTCCATGAAACACATGGATGGGTGCTTAGGCCAAGTGGTGTAAAGCCCAACAATGAAGACAGACCTTTTAAAAGCACAAAATAAACTGTTTACATCTTTGGAATTTGGTCTCCTTCCTCCAAAATCCCTGTCAGGTTAACAAACCATAATTTTATAAACACCATTTTGCCTTTGGTATCATCTCAAATATCTGTTGAGCACCAGAAGTCATGACATTAGGTAAATGAGTAGTGTAAGCACTAACACAATATTCCAGTTCTTCCCACCAGCTGAAAAAAAACCAAAAACATATACCTGTTCCAACAAATGGATCATATACAATGTCATTGGGTTTTACTCTCCCATGGTTTGCCATGATGAAAGAGAGGCAGGCATCCATGCTTGTATTTCCAATAAAGTGTCTCTTCTTTACACTGTAGGATTCAATGAGTTCTCTTTGGCCATCTGCAATCTGTTGAAACATTTAAAACCCATGTCAGATCCTGGATACAAGATATAAACAGACACACTGACACACTTTCTTTAGTGACACCATCCAAAACCAGGTAGCTTCACTTCGTAACACATCACCTTGCTTTCTGATGTCTGAAAATATGACAGGCTTCTTTCCAAACAACAGATATCTTGCTTCAACACCAGGGTAAATTCTTCAAGACAGAGGTTAAAAATGTACAAACATTTTAGAGAGAAAATTCTTTATAAGAAATTATAATTAGAGTAACTTTGCTATTATTCTAAGCATCAGAAAAACAATTCCTTGCAATTCATAGTTAAAAGGATTTCAAAAATATGAGGACTAGACACGCGCATTAAGACATGCATGCACACACAGGGATGCTTAAAGTCAGACAGAATTTCCTTCTTCACTGGCATTTCTGTCCCACTCAAAATCCAAATTTAGAATAGCATTGACAGGTGAGAATTTGAGGGAAAAGCAAACAAAGACCAAATGCTGGCATTTTTACATCAGTCTTCCAAAGTACATTGGAGAAGACCAAAGCAATCTGAAACAAAACACATTCCAACACTATCCCTCCACCTCGCTCAGCATCAGTCTAACTGGGTTAACAAATACACCTGCCTATTTCTTCAGGTTGGTTTACTCATTTTTAAACACTTCAGGAATTCAGCACAGATAGGACAACAGCTGCAATGTTTCGCAGCATTACCACAACCCAGAGTGCTCTCACATCAATCACAGGCGTGGAGGATATTCACAGGCCCTAACAGATAGCTTGAATGTCAACTTCCCTGGAACACGAGCCACTGACGACAGCTACACAACCTCTGCAGTGGTTCTCCCTCCTTCCAGCTGCCTTCCACCCAGGACGTGCAAGCACATATTCCCACCAGTGGCTAGTGTCATTCTGGGACATATCCTTTGAGGAATCACTTCTCCCTCACAGAAACATAAAAGACCAGATCAAATTTCCTCAGCATGTCCTAATAATGCAGCAGGTTTAGAGTGCACATGGCCAGTAGGCAAGAACATTTGCAGTGAAGACCACAGATGGTTTTTGTACTTGGTTCCTTCTGCACTGCCGGTGTACCCTCGGGCAGGTGCCTGCCTGTGGGCTGGACTCACTGATGTCCAAAGCCTCAGGGATCAGTCTGCACCTTTCCAAGGAGGTGCCTGCCAGGATCACTTGAAGCACTTACAGCATGCTCCAGTGAGGCTGATGCCACTCAGCTGGGCCACAGGCCATCTACAGTTCTGTACATCTTTCTATGTTTGGAACAGGGGCTTTCAGCTACTGCCAGGTCCAAAAAACTGTAACCCACCACCCCTGCTGTGCTGAGTTCTCTGAGGGGATGGCAAGACAAAGGTGTGTTTCCAGATACAACTTCATTTTTTTTCCAACTCCAAATTGTTCATTAAAGCCATTTTTTCCTAGTCACAGCAAGGACTTCCAAGACTTGCTTCAGAGTATTATGCAATGACAAATTCAGACAATGGTATTTTCTCCTTCTATTAAAGTCAAAACACTTTTTACATTTAAACTGAAGTACGCTCTCCTGAAAATACAAGCTTGCAAGAACTGAAGCAAACATGCTCACGCACCCATCTACCAAAATACAGATGAATGGGCTCTTCTGGAACATCATTTGGGTTCATTCCATAATCCTCCAAAATCCAAAATACGTGTTCTGGATTCTTTAAATTTACTTTTCCTTTGAATGGCAGAAATTCAAGGGCCTATACAATAAAGAAAAACAGAGTCAAAAATAAACAGGGTCAATTGTTTTTAAATAGGTACCTTCCCCCTCAAGAAAAAACACCAAACAAACAAAAAAATCAGCAAAACCCTCACAATTTCACTTGTGAGAAATGGTATATTAGTACTAAAAGTTCAATTTCCACTGGTTTTTTGAAATGCCTTTCTTCTAAACAAAAATATCTCAAATGATTAAGGTTTAGAAATTGGGAACCACAACACCTTTTATAATCTGAACAGAATTCAACTTCCAAGGAAATTAACTGTGGATATTAATTATGCAATTTTCAAGTGATAGAAACAACAATGATGATGAACAATAGGATGTGAAATTTCAGTGATGTGCAGCTACAATTGTTTGCATACTTAGCATTATTTCATGTACAAAAAAACTGAACAAACAGCGAAAAATAGCTACTACTTATACAGATAATTTCAGTCTCTGTAAATGAAGTAAACTGAATAAACAGGTGCCAAAATAGAATGTGGAAGAGCAGAAATAAACAGTAATTTGGAAAAATGCCCTAAATGAAATACTGATATAGTTAGGAGGAGAGCACAAGTACAGATAAGAACAGGAAATCAGCACACAATCCACACCTTGCAGCTGAAGTCACTTGTTCCACATTCTGCAACAATATAAGCCTAATAAAGAGCTCAAATAACAGATTTTCCAAAAATTTAGAACCTAACTCTTGCCATTTGAATCTTATAGTTCTCAGCAGCAAGCTTTGGTTTCTGCAGCACACTGGGCTGAGATTTCCGCCCAGTGCTATTTGTTTGGCATTGTATATGCCTTAAACAGCCAGTTTATAGAGGGGGAGAAAAAAAAGCTGTGAATTTTGAGAGAATGTTAATTCAGACACAAAAATCTCATTTAGACCTGATAAGATATAAGCCATAAATTTCCTTAAGGTCTTGAAGAAACCTAAATACACTGATAGCATGGAATAAGAACAACATGAACAGATTAAACTAAACAAAGATTTCTTAACCATCTACTTACATCAATCTTTTTTATTTTCTGTGCTTGGGTCAGTGTTTTATTAAATGTATGAATATGTACTTTGTAAGTAGAGTCTGACTGTAGATATGGAAGCTGAAAAAAATAAAAGGCAAAGACATTTAATTAGTACAGATGCAGTGCTATTCAGTGGGCTTAAGGAACCAGTATCCAGATTCTTTATTTTTATACCATCTTGTCTGTTGGATAGTTCTTCAAGGATGCATAGAGCTCCCCTGCAGATTTTCCATGGCCCCACAGTTCAAATATAGACCTGAAATTACAAAGTTTTTGCAAGTTAATCACATAGAGTAGGGAAAATGCCTTACAGATATTTATTCCTTTTAACCTACTTGGCCAGTGTATTTAGGCTTTAATTCATGGAGTATTAAAGTTGACATTTAATTCTAGACAAATGTTTTAGTTTTTGTCTGTAACAAGTATTTTTAATCACAGGCTGATATTTCACTGATGCTTTTCTTTGTTTGGTAACATGCACCAAAACCTTCAGAGCTTTTCATATTGATTAGCAGTGCAATGGAGGTACTCCAGTGATCTTAGTCTAAAACTAACACATCTCCCCACAATCACCTGTAGAAATAGAAAAATAAGCTGTGGGCTAGTTATGCTTTGTACATAGAATTAGCATACATTAGCTGAGAGTGCACAGTGTGCAGAACATCTGAAACCTTGTTGTGTCACATTTTACTCCCTGAACTGCCTGCAGCTGCTTTTTGAAGTGCAGTGCTCCACTCTTTAGGCAAGAGTGGAGAGCCCAAGTCATTCTAGATAAAACTGAATAGCTTAGACATCAAGCACTTAACAGGGACTGTGCAACGTTCTGCAGAGGAGACCAAGCTCTGAAGAACACAGCACAGGCACCCCAAATTTAGTATGGTCATAAAGGCACATAAGGCACATAAAACATGAGTGACACTACAAGTACTGTCTCTGGAGTGAAGAACACCATTTGGAGACCCTGAACTGATCATACACTGAGTAAAGAGGACAGACAGGGATGCTACACAATCAGTCCTACAGGAGTCCTACAGGCTCCAGTAGCACCTTCTCAATTCTAGAGGGAATCGGAGACTATTTTATGACTCCATACAAAATTTATATTTGCCATATTAGAGCAAAATTCCACTGCTTGTGTTATTATTTACAACACTGTAAATCTCTTACTTTGCACATACGGTCCGCTTCATTAGTCCCCTTGCCATCTCTTCTGAAGGAATATTGAGAATCCAAAAGGGAGACTGCAATCAAGAGAAGGTAAGCCACACAAATACCCAGCATGTCACATGAATTACACAACGACACAGTTCTGTTCTATAAAAACAGAACATGCCTACTGAAGATTAAAAAAATTAATAAAAAATACATCTGTTACCTTTAATCATACAGAGAACATGGGGATAAAATAATTAATCCGAGACAAAACTGTTTACTCAGCTTGAATGTCTGCGAAATTCTGTTATGTATTTCATTTTCCCAACATAACTGACTTGGTAAAATATTATTTGCATTTCTCTTGATTATTCATCCACTAAAGATTGGAAATACCTCATAACAGGTTTCCTGTTTAGCAGCAACTAAATCCCAATAACATTCTCTGGCCAAGCACTGAGACCTGAATCATATGGCTTCCTAACTGCACTCCTCCAGTGTCTCACTGATTTAGAGACAAACACCAACTCCAAACTGCTGCTGTGTTCTCATGGTTTAGCTATCCTAAAAAGCAAGGAGAGCCTCCCAGCAGGTGGCACTGCTTCTTTTCATGCTGGTAAATGAAGACAACCTGAGGTGCATTTTGTGCATCTTTTTACTAAAGAGTTCCGTTTTGTGCATCTTTCAGTAAAGAGTTCTGACTCTTTACTGAAACTGAGAAGTCAGTTTTGGCAAGATTCCCGAATTTCCTAAGAAATTTCAATATTTATTCAGATGCCCACAATTAACAAAAATACTGTAAAGAACATACTTGCAGACCATACATACACTCAAGTAAAATAGTTGGTCCTCACTTACATTTACACGAATTTCCTGCTCGCCACTGAATTGTCCGCCACAAAGGGAGAGCAATGATGTTATTTCCTAAAATGAAAACATAAAGGTCAGGACTTAGAATCTTATAAAGAAGAAAAGGAAAAGGGAAAAAAGAGAAAAGAGAAGAAGCAGCATGACACTAATTCTAATAAGATGGTGGATAGGGCACACATTCACAAGTAAATTCAGATTGTACGCACTGTTCATTAATTGAACATTAAGACCTCCCTGCTATAAAAACAGTTTTCTCAAAATTCATTGGCAAATGTCAGGAAAATTTCAGTAATTAAACCCCACCATTTCATATATTCTCCTTCATCAGAATCTTTACTGTTCAATTCTACACTCTCACAACAATATTATCCACTCTCTTCTTGAAATATTTTTCTGACTAGTTCACATAAAAGTTGTATTTCAGTAGTAACACTGACTCAGGGCCAGGATCAGCAGATCATCTGGCTAAAAAAATCTGTCCCTGCTTGTTCCATTAAGCTTTTGAAAATCATGTTCCTAGCACAGCTCATCACAAAACCAAACAAGCTGAGCAGCCACCAAAATAAAGAAGAATTGGCTCTGCTTCCTTCAGCAACTGTGTCACCATGTGTCACCAAAACCTTGGTGATAAAAAGAAAAACTTTCTGTGTTACACATGTATCATCTTCTTTTTACTTCATCCGGTGGCCTTGCCTAAAGAAAAATCAGGATGATCATGAATGGAACTCAGGTTCCAGTCCCACTAAGCAAATAGGAAAGAGAACCTTAATGACAACAAGGAAAATAAAAGCTTCAAGACACGTTAAACATTTTGTAACGTGTGACAGTCCAATCGACGAGGGAACATCACCCAGTGAAGCAGACCATGGCACTGAGTCTTCCCCTGCACACCGGCAGGGACGGTGGCTCCACCAGCGCCCGGGCAGAGCACGGAGAGAGGCCCTGGCGTGTGCCCAGGGCAGCTCCAGCCGCTCCTGCACCCAGGGCACACTGGCGGGAGCTGACGGATAACTTAACCTTCTAAATTAGTCACCAAAGCCAAGACTTGAAAGCATTTTTGTAACCCCAGCTTCCGCCTCTCTCATGGAGCCCCGGGTACTCTGCTGGCAACCTCTCCTAGCGCCAGAGGCTGTGGAAAAGCGAGCGGCAAGGAAAGTGCTGCCTTATAGCCACCACGCGGAGGCTCCCCACGAGCCTGGGGCAGGAGGGAGAAGAGGAAGCCTGGGGGTCGGACGCGGGAAGGGGCGAGGGAAGAGGGGCCGGGCGCTGCGAGCCCCCGGCTCTCCCGGAGAGAGGGGACCCCGGCCAGGGTCCGGCTCCCCAGGCACACCCGGGCCCGCGCTGCTCGGGAGCGCCCCCGAGGAGAGGGGAGGGGAGAGGAGGGCAGCGCCTCACTGGGCCCCTCACTCGGCCCTCAGCCGCTGCCCCGGTCGCAGTCCCGGCCCCGCGCAGCGCTCACCGGCAGGCGGAACTCCAGGTGCTCCTGCGCCAGCAGCAGCAAATAGCGCCGTAGCGGCGGGGCCGCCAGCGCCATGTCCGGCCATCCCCCGCCTCCCGCATGCGCCGCCGGCAGGGAAGGGCGGGAGCGGCGGGAGGAGCCCGGGAAGGGGCGTGTGGCAGAGAGACCCCCGCGGCCTCTGCAGCGCCCGGAGCGGGACACGGGACTGTGCGAAGTCTTCAGGAATTAATGCTCACTTCATCTCCTTCCCATCCTCCTGGTAGTTATATTTTGGGTGTGCTTTATCACGCACGCCACGTGTCAGTGCAGCAGTGCCTGCGTGTGGTTTATAAATAACTCCGTGTACACCGGGGACACGCTCGCTCAGGGGTGTTTCACTGTCAGGGGCCCGCCGAGGCCTCTCCCGGCCACACTTAAGGATCTGGAGCATTAAATAACATTAAGAATTAACAGATGCCAAAGGAGTCGCATTCCTTTTTCCGTGGGAAGGAGGTCAGCGCCGGCGGCGTGGGTGTCGCAGCAGGTAGAGAAACACATTCCCAGGAAAGGGGCAGAGAGAGGTGTGACGGTCCGGCAGAGGGGCAAAAAGGGGTTTGTCTTGCGGGTTATGTTTTGTTTTAATATCTAGTCTTAATAATTGTAATCCCGTACTCACTGGTCTCGCTGTTGTGTTGATCTGAAAGGTTCATCTTATCCAGATTTTGGTAAACTGTTTATTAGGACCAGGCCAGCTCAGCACTGAACTCATGTTCTGTGTTTTATGTGCTAAAGTTGTTGGGCTTGTTTGGATTTTTTTTTTCATTTTTTTGGGTTTTTTTCTAGATAGCTAAGATTTTGCTCATGACCTGTGAACACTGCACGGGACAGCTCCTTGATGCATCTCCATAATCTCATCCTCCAGTTATCCCTTCCTGCAGTAACCAAAACTGAGGTCACTGTGAAGCTTTAGCCCTGATGATTGACAAGAAAGCCATCTAAAGCAACCTGGCACCTAAATGTGAGCTTTCCTAGAAGAGAAAGGGAAGAGGTACATGTGGGTCCGGCTTGTTCACCTCAGTAGCTGAATGCTGAGACCCAGCAATAAACACATTGCTGAACTGCTGACAAGCCCTGCAAGCCTGAAATTGCTGATTGCTTACAAAATCTTGTAATTGCTGAGAGAGCTTTAGTGGAAAAAGTCTGCTTTTATTTTTCCAATCTGTCTCACTTTAAATTTCTTAGCTCTATGGCTTCCATTTTAGAAACTCCTTAGAAGGGGTTGTTGGTATTATTTTTAAGCTTAATCTCTTTGAAACTGGCTTTTGCTTCCTTTATCTGCACTGCTTTACCTTCGGGGCATTGCTGCCTGTTCTCTCAAGGTGAATACCTATTTTTCACTGATACTGTTTCCTACAGAAGACTTTAACAAAAGCCGTGGGTTTTTTCTTGCTTTTGACTTGAGGATCCATGCATAATCTCTGGCAGTGCATACATGTTGCTCTACTTAGTTTGAAAGTGAATGTACGTTACTAAGATTTACAGAGTATTTGATTCTCACATAAAAACAAAATGCTTTTCAGATGCTGTGTTTGGAAAGAGAACGTACATTCCTGTAATGTCAGCGAGGAGAATCAAGCAGTTTGTTAGTGTGGATGTGGGGAGTCATCTTTAAAAACATTACATATCTCTTAACTCTTCTAGTGAGGGAAAGGAAGAAAATTTACACTTTTCAGCCTTCAGGGGAATATTATATACACAAAGTGTAATTACTCACCTTGAAATTTATCCAGGAAGCTAGAATTAGCCACCTTCCTCTCACAAAAAAATATGTAATAAAAATGGTAGTATACAAAAACCATGAGTTTCAATTTAAAAGTGAGAGACCATGAATAAAAAGCCATTATTTCATGCGTACTGTTGCTTATTATTCCCAATTCCCTTCTCTGGTGATTGTGTTGCCACTCTGTGCTCACCTCAGGCACTCTTCTAGACCCAGAGGCAACACAAGTGTTTTTTGATTGACCTGGAGGTTCTGCTGGGGAATTTCAGGAGTCCTGTCCCTGCTCATGGGTTCACTTGCAACAGTACCAACTTATGCATGTGGGCAAATGCCCATGAAAACTTACTTTTAAAACAACAACAGTTTCAAAATACAGAAATACCCAATCTGTAATTCGACTGTTAAACTGTTCGGAATTTGCATTTCTGTCTATTAAAATCCAGCACTGATCCTGTGTTTTAATTTCAAATGTCGGTAGAAGTATCAGCTCTACTCATGTGCTACCTGGAAACTCCGGCTTGCATATTTCGACAGGTGAACGATACGACCCAGCAAAGACGTGGCTGTAGCACAGTCAGATGTCGGTGGGGATGTAAAGCCTGTCTCTGATTCATCCGATGCCCCTGTCCCGCAGAGCGGGTCGGTGCTGCAGGCGCACGGAATGCCGCAGGTGGCGGGCAGCCCGCCGCGCCCCGGGAGCGGAGGGGCGCTCGCTGCTCCCCGCCCTGCCCGCGCGCTGCAGCCGGCGGCCATGGCCGTGCAGCACGGCCTTTTAAGGGAGAACAATCTATTCTGCCTTTGTCTTCCTCGCTAAATAGGGTGTTGCGGACAGAGACGCACTCGCTAACTGCACTTTTATTTCTCCTTGCAGTGCCTGATGAGGAAAATCCCCTTGCTCCCACCATGTATTGGCGTTTCGGCTCCAGATAATATTTTATGTGCATTATAACTAGCGCAGCCTGAGGGAACCTTGTCGGCGCGGCGTGAATTCGTCCACCTTTACTGAGCGTTCAGGCGGAGAGCGGCTTCCCACCCCTGTGCATGGGTTGGTGCTGCCGCTCGGGAATGGTTTGCTCTCTCCGCGGCTCAGCCAGCACTGCATCAGATTGTTTGGGAAGTCAGCGGGGCTGCCGGGGACCAGGATAAAGTTCTTGGAAAGGCGTCATTGCAAGAGGAGTGAGTACTGCACTGTGTGTTGCACGGAGGCTGCGGGGTTTGTTCGGGTTATAACTGCGGGATCGGTGGAGCACCGTGTAATCTTGTAAACGTAATTTACCGCCCTGTGTTCTTAAATTACTTCTGAATGTCACCTGAATCACTTTTACTTTCTTCATTGCTGGAGAATTATGAGTGGACTTAAAATCTTCAGATATTTAGCCTCTTTTTCAGCAGCCTTGCCTCTGACTCAGGCAAAACTCTTCCAAAAAAGATCAGGCTGATTTGTTGTTTTTCCTTCACAGCTGACAGTGCACACGGGAGCCACAGTTACAGCCAGTCACTGATTCCTTTCCTGCTTGAGTGCCATAAAACATTTTCAGCAATGGAAGGAGAAAAAGGGCAAAGTGCTAAAGCTACCAGTGCAGTGGGTGACCTGAGGAAAAGTTGGCAGACCTGGGCAGAGGATCACATTGAGTATCAGAGGAAGAATCCGTTCAGCAGCGATGACAGGCTTGCGTCTGGACCTGCGCACACTCACAGAGGAGATCCCACCTACGGGAGACCCCCGGAAGGCTCTCGGACAGAACAGAGAGGGAGAGATGCCCACTCACACGTGGGTAGGGAAGTAGAAGAGCTGTGCTCGATCATCAGAAGAACTGGAAAGGTGGGAGAAGATGGACACGTGACAGTGACATTCGGGCAGCTGTTTGAAACATACGTGACTATTTCCAATAAAGTAGTGGGAATCTTGTTAAGAGCCAGAAAACACGGTCTGGTGCATTTTGAAGGTGAAATGCTTTGGCAAGGAAAAGATGATGATGTGGTCATCACTTTACTACAATAAGGCTTTGTCCTGGAATGAACTTTGCTGCACGGTTCCATTTGGAAAAACATAATTAGATACCATCTTCACAGGTTTTGGTTACAGAATTTCAACTCAGCTACCTACTGGGACACAAGCAGGAGAGGAAATGGGCGAGGAGGATATTTTTGTAAAAATGGTAGAGATTTGGATGGAAATCACAGATTACAAGCTACTCCATCACATTGACATTGGATTGTCCTTATTATCATCTACTAGCAAGTATATGAGAGTTCTTCAAATAACTGTGCTGGCCTACTGCTTTTAGGTTACTGAAAGTATAAATTACTAACTTGCTATCCTACACTACTGTTTCCTACAGGTTGTGAAATACTTACTGTGTGGGAGGATGGGATTTGTAAAACGTGGAATTGAAAACTCTTGTGGGAATTCATATACTTCTTCAAACAAAGAGCCTGGTATATAGCAAAATTTTAGGTTCAATCTCACATGGTTAAACTGAATAAATGGAAGTTATTTTCATGAAGTAGATAGAAATTCCCAAGCTTACAAAAATATCACAGCAAGCATAGTTGATGGTTCCTAAATTAGTTGCATCTTGCTTGGATTTTGGACAGCTGCACTGGTTGTGGTATTTAATAGTCTAATCTTACAGTCATATCTTCTCCAAACCTTCTGTGTCTCTTGTTCTTTTTGTTTTTTATCTCACACCATTTTTTTCCTGTTCTTCTAACGCTTCAGAAGAAGTCCACAAAGCTCTGCATCCTTTTCAGTGAATTCAGCTATACCCCTTCAGAGAAGGTAGGGTGCCACAATGTAAAGATGCAAAAGTCATCAGAAACTCTGTATTTGGGCATCTGTGCATTCATAAGGAAAAAAAACAGCTCTTCTTTCACCAAAATGTAGCAATGTTTTTTACGAGAGTAGAGATACTGTAGTACCAAATGCATAAATGAAAATATAGCAGCAGTCCCACAGCTCATTTAACTGCTTTCAGAGCACAGTTGTGAGCTCTTCAGAAAGAAAAATAAAGGATTGGTTATATAACATAGTTGTAATAGTGCTATGAAAAATAATCAGGACCTGTATTTACAATCATTACCACTAATAAAACTGTATAATTAGAAATCTAAAGTAATATTTTTACCAGTGCAAATAGAAGCTTCTGTGTGGTGTTAACTACACTACTTGATGGGTCTTTAAAGTAAGATACTGTTCTTGCATCAAAAGAATATTAAAATTTAATATAAATTAGGAACTTGGTAAAAGTGATGTGTAATTTTATGCTATTTATATAAAAGAACTTCTGTTGCAAAAAGCCTAAAAGAATGGGGGTTTGTTTTGATGTTTTCATCCAGTGAGGATTTGCACCAAACTAAGTCTTTGGCTGAGGATTTCATTATTTTCCTCCCTCCTTTTTTCTTTTTCTGGTGAAAGGACAATGAAAAGAGGAGGAAAAAAAAGGGAATAAATTAATGTGCTGAAATAAGTATATCTGGGGAACAGGGCAGTCAGATGCAGGTAGAGAATGGATTTTAATCACCACATAATTTTACCACATTGGAAAAGGGGGAATATGTGCTGCACCAGGCACTGTTGGTGTGTGCTCCCTTAGCTTTCAAACCTACTGCTTCTTTCTAAACAGATCTACACCTTGCAGCTGAAAAAGAAGTAGATGTAGTTTGTTATCTTAACATATTTAAAATGTTCTTTTTGAAAAAGCATTTCTTGCCAAATTACATGAGCACAACCTCATTTTTCAGGTCCTATTAGAGGAAGTCTTTACATGCATTCAGATTTTAATGCAAATTAAACATTTTATAGTGCAGCTGTGGAATGAGTTTTGTTTAATTCTAACAATTCTGAAATCCACTCAGTTCTGCTGTAGTGTTAGTTCGCAACTTGCAGGAAGCAGCATCAGGCACTTCAAGTGTCACCAGGTAACTAATTGGATGGCACTATGAGGAAAAATAATACATTGCTGGACATTGTACAAATAATTCCTTGCAAGACACACATGTGAGGCAGTATGTAGCCTGAGCACCATAAGATGCAAGTCCAGCTCACATAAATTTACTACACTTTAATTAAGGCTGGCTCAAATAGTTAAATATCAGCAATCTAGGCTGTCACTGCCATGTAAGTGGTAGATGCTTGAGCACATCTACAAGCACTTTTTAAGAACACCTCTGATCAAAACAGAAGCAGAGCAAACCCTTAATGACATGGTCTTACCTACTTTGTAAGCGACTAAAAAAAGCTTGCTCTATATACTATATAACAAAACTATTATTTATAGAGGGATTTCTTTAAACAATTACAGAGCCAACCTGCCAGCTTTAGATGAGCATTCTGGAAAACGTGACTGAAATCTTTCTGTGTGCCCATGCAATGATTATAAACACTGAGCTGCCAAACTGGCTCAGCACACAGGTTGACAAATCCAGTCTTGTGCTTCCAGCAATAGCATTTCAAAAAAAGACTAAAAGATAGATAATAGAACTGGTCAGCTTGCACACTGGTACATTCTAGAATAAAAAATTACTCCTGAAGCCTGTTTAGTCATGAATGTATTATATCTAATGCACATGACTCAGTTCAGCTACAAGTTTTACAAAATTTTGCTTCATCTGTGATTAGATAAACATCTGCAGATGAAGTAGGAATTTAAACTTTTCAACATGCAACTTGTTTTTTTTCAGCAGGCTCCCATTTGAGTAAATGGAACAGAATTTATTAAATTGTTTTTGCAGAAATTGTAGCATGTAAGGGGTTTTAGTATTACAGATAATTTGGAGTAGTACGTAAACCCCAATCTTTTTAAAAGGTGTTCTTGCCCTAATAAGCATCTTTTAGCTGTTTAGATCTCTCCTAAACTTCACTTTGTGACAGATTACCTCAGTGGTCTTTGCCCTCCTTCCACCTGAAGTCTGTAAACTCTGCATCTGTTGGACTGTATATCATATACAGATTATCTGTGGTTTGTTTTGTCAAACACTGAAGGCACTGTCACCATTTCAATAAATGTTGCACATTAGTTTGAAATGACAAGAGTTTTTATGCAGCATTTAATTGTTTACAAGTTTCTCAAATTTCAAATACAATTTTCACTGGTTTGCTGTCATTCTCCTACTTTTATTTACAACTCACACTTAAAAAGACTTTGGAATATTCTGAGGTATTATTACCAATTTAACCACAATTTCTTTTTATTTTTAACAGCATGTTATGTGTATCTGCTTCATCCTTTCAGCATAAAAGCATTATTCCCTGGGTTCATGTTAGGTTGGGAGTTTATGTAAGACAATTGAGCAAACCAATACAAATAAAGCTTTGTCATTCCCAAACATGAGGTCAAAAAAGCAGCTTTTCTCAAGACTGCTAATACTGGATCAAAGAACAGAGCCAGCAGCAGTGGCTAAACAACTTTCCTTTGCTTCTTCAAGCTCTTTGGAGAGTAAGAGCTGCTGAGTTCATGCTCCTTATTGATCTTTGCTCCTTAGAAAGATCTACAGATGATTTTGGAAGTTTTAAAATTTCTAAAAGCTTCTATAGAAGACAGTGACAGAGTTAACAGGATCTGCCCACTGTCTCTTCCAGGGACTAGCCAGTAATTCAGTAGCATATTGAAGTATTAGGTTAGGTTTTTCAGAAAGTATTTCTTCACCTAATTAAAACAATTATCTTCAGAGTCCAAGAATGCTTGTCAGTGCAGAAGGAAAACAGAACACAGCTCTGTGCTGAAAAACACTAACAAGAGGCTGAGAATTCCTCTCAGTAATTAGTGTGCCTCTGTTTAATGCTTTGCTGTTTCAGCTGTTCAGATGTCTGTCTGCTGCTGTCAGGGAACACAGGATATCCCCATCTTTCTCATCAGCAAAACTCTGTAAGTGACATTATACCCAGATTTTTACCTTTTCAGTCTTGCCATTAGTGGGGTCGCTCTCCAAAATTAAGACATCAAAGTTGGCCTTTGTGGTTTCATGTACATTTGGCAACACAGAGAGTCTGGCTGGGATGGAGTAACTTCCTTCAGAGCATCCCAGGTTTGGGTGTGACTGAAGTGCTGGTAACACAGCAGTTCTGGTGATTGCTGTGCATGAGCAATGCATGGACAATGTCAGGGCCTTCTTTCTCCTGCTCTGCCCCCTGCCTCAGTGGGCAAAAAGCTTAGAGAGAGCAGAACCTGCACACCTGACACAGACTGGCCAGCAGGGATACTCCATGATATATCATGTCTGGAATAAAAGCTGAAGAGAGGGCTATTTTTTGGGCTGTGGGGGCTGTTGCTATTGGCCAGCCTATGGAAGGTCATGAGTTATTACCTTTGCTTTTTTCTTCCTCTTTCTTTCACATATTAAACTATCTTTATCTCAACCCATGAGTTTTTTCATTTTGTTCTTTCTGTTCTCCCACCCCACTGGGTTAAGGGATGAAGAGTGAGCAAAGAGCTATCTAGGGTCAACCCTCAGAGTCAGCTATTCCATTGCACTGGAAAATCATCCAAGACTAGCATTTATTAATCCTTTTTGACAACAGTTCATGTTGATATTTTACATATTACATGTCACAGTTCAGTACAGTTACATAAATTAATTGCAGATCAGAACACATACATATTAACTCTTGAAAGTCCTTAATATACAGGTATTTCACTAAGTCAGGAGCCAGCTCAAACCTCTTCATCTATTGCACAGTCAAAGTTCAGTGGCTTTAAGTCAAACTTTTCCTACCAAATGTAATAAATTAAAACCCTAAAGGGCTGCAAATAACATGCAAGTGCCCACTAATACATATAACAAGACATTAGGAAGAAGATCTTACGGACAGAGATGTGTAAACTGCCAGGAAAAAATGCAGTTCTTCAGAAGGGTGTGGACTCTCTGAAGTACTGTAAGAATATTACAGCACATTGTATCACTAAGGCAACAGGTGCTGGATCCATGGGAAACAGACTACTATGTTCAGGGAAGTTTGCAGGTGCAACAGATGTTCTCACCTCAGCTGCATCTGAATGCATCAGGCAAGGGCACTTGGTTAGCTCGGCACCAAGACAAGCTCTGTGAACAGAGAAAATCCACTCCATGTGTTCTGGAGTTTTCACTTGCCAAACAGTCTGCCTTATTATGGTACTGAAAAACAAGTGCTAGCATTCCTGATTAGAGTCATGCTGCAAAGGCAAATGTTCAACAGGTTCCTTAAGCAACTTGGCATGTTCCAATTTTGGGCTGAGTCCCTGCTATCCCAAAGTCAAATCACATTGCTCTTATGTAAGTCTGCCACACACACACTACATTTCAGACCAGCTTCTCTTATGACTTCATTTAGAATCCAAATTTGGCCAAGGCATTAGTAATCTGCAAGGGACTTGCAGTGAAAATAAGACCAGAAAATCTGGACTTTTCTATCTACTGCCATGTAGAAGAGCAGTATATTAAATCCATTCTTTTGAACTCTTCACATTCTTTGTAAACATATAGTAATTTCAAATATTGTGCACATAAGAGGGGAAAAAAACATTAGGTCTATTTACACATAAACTATTGGGCACATATTGTATTCATGTTTACTGTGTCACTGTGATGCAAACAAGTCAGGTAACATTGAAGTAGTTTTGCACCAGAAAGTCAGTACTGTACTTTCAGCAATGTACCTTCCCATCACTAGGCATAAGTAACATATCATACAAATGCAGGTGGGAACAAATGTTTGAAATGTTATCTGCAATCCCAGGACAATGCATCTTGAAAATGAAAGCTTGATTCTGCAGCAAATACTCCCTTTGGTAACATTCATATGCTGTTAGTTGTAACTCACTGCCTTGGTTGCAATACATTCTGCTGCTACACTTTGCCTTTTAATAGGAAGAGTTCTCTGCCTGTGTGCATGTGTGTGTGTATTATGTATGGATCTACACAAATTGAATTAAAATTTTAACTAAAATATATCGCGCTATTGCCAGGGAAGTATACAGACTGACATATCCAAATGGAAGAATTAGGTTAGCAGCTACAAATTCTGTGTGTATTTCTGTGGGATCTCAGTCTCTCAGAACTGGGGTGCAGGGTGAGCAAGACCCCCCCTGGGGGGCTCGGGAGTCCTGGAATGCTGCCAGAGATGTCTGGTGGCTGGACTTTGATCCCACATGGGAGATGACATCAGTATGAGGACGAGAAGATTTCACTGGGGTGAATGGTGAAGGGACAAGTTAATTGGAGTGTGAGATACAAGATTTAAGATCCCTGTACAGGGGAGTCTAAAGAAGCAAGATGGAGGGATTGGGGCGTGCCCTTCTCCTTCTTCTTCTTCCTCTAAGCCTCCATCTTCTGTGGTGGAGTTGGCACTCCAGGATTGGACCTTACTAGGAGAACACTAGTTAATAAGGATAGAGGGTATTGGAGAAAAATGATAAATATTGTATACGTAACTCCGGGTATAAAGATAGGTGACCGCCCCAGGGGCTTTCAGTGTGTGCCCATGGCTGACTGCTGAGCAGAACTCTGTCAGGCCAAGAGAAAATCTTTTAGATAAGCAATTAATAAACACCGAGACCGAGAACAAATCTGAAGCTTCCTCTCGTCCTTTCGAACCCGGGGGCCCAAAGCCATCTTTGAGCTTTTTCCCAGACCATCTAAACACCACAGAAATCCAACATATTTCCTCATAAGGAACTAAAGCTTTTTTTATCCTGGGATATTATTGGCAACATCAAACTGTGCAACCTTAAATCAGAGCTCAAAGACCAAAGTGGCTGACAACACAAGCTTTCAGCTGGCAGCATTTTCAGTCTGCAGTCTCTCGATCAGTTGTTCAGCCTATGAAAGAGAGAAAGCAATGCATTACAAAAATGAAGGCCCACATAACTCCACTGTGGGCCTTCATTTTACTGAAAATTCCATTTCAAAAACAGTGACACTAACAGAGAATTTACTTTTCACTTTTACAGATTAAGGGTACAGGAGAAACAGAATACAACAATTCCTTTCAACAACAGACTCAGTTTCCAACAAACACTCAGGAGGTGATCATGATGTGGAGGTCAGAAGAGGTTTGAGCACATGAACAGCAGATCTGTTAAAGCACTGTGTCTGCAGAGACCTCAGAAGACAGCAGTGCTTGGAGCAACCCAGTGGTGAGAGCTGGGATTCTCTGCGAGCCACTCCAGAACTGTGTGTTGCGACCTCTCACTGCACCACCAGCCACAAACTGCTGAGGGACAGAGGGCATTCAAGTGTGTGGCTCCTGTCACGAGTTACTACCTCATGGTTTGGTCACATCACCGCACCAACAGAGACTTTTGTCATCATACATGGCTATTTGCGCATCATGGGCAGGACTGGGGCAGCTGTGCTTTGTACACGTAACAGCAGCAGCTCACAGAGCCCTCAGGAAGGCTCAGCGCAGGAGGGAGTCTGCCAACAAGCAGGCCAGACTGGGCACGTGGAGGCCAACAGGGGCACTTCTGAAACTGATCAGTTTACTGTCAGCCTTTGCTTTTTTTGCCAGTCCTACTGAATTAATCTTTTAACTCGATGTAGTGCTTGAGGCTTTATTAAAATCTCCAAAGGAACTATATTAAGGTGAAAAGCTCAAGTTTTTTAAATGCAGATGATAAAAATGCAATCAGATACTTCAGGTAGGAGCAACTCAACAGAGTTCAGTAATTACTGCAGTTAATTTAAAAATAAAGCTACATAAAGTATGCAGCAAATGAAAATTATATTATCTGAATCCTGTTTTGCATTCTTAAACAAGTATCACATTCAGGACACTGTAATGTGAAAAAAAAAACCAAACCAGAACCACCACCAACCCAACAACATTTTCCAACCTGACAGCAGGGCAAAATACCCAAGTGCAGCCATACTGGATAACCAGACTTAAGCGGTAAAACTACACAGCTATATGTACTTCAGGGACAAGTATTTCTGAGATGCTCAATAACACAGCAGACACATCTGCTTCTTTTGAGCTAGGAGTGAACTCCAGCAAGGTGCCACTGTAAAGAAGCTGTGTTTCTTCTCTTTAAGTAAGAAGCTGTCTATATTCTTTAGATGAGACAGACCTTTTTTAGCAGCTTTGATGTGGGGATGTGCAATGACTCTAGGGTGCTACAGTTACCTTGCAAGGACAGGTGCTTTGCTGCATCAAAGCAATGAGAGTGAGGTTTAGGTCTCTAGAGAGAGATTTTCTAAGTGCTTTAGTCAGTGTCAGTTCAGTCTCATTGCTAATCGCTACTGACATAAATCAGTACCAACAATGTTTTTGTAAAGCAGGCACTAGGCTTAGTCTAAAAATGACAAGATGAGAAAAACCACATGAAGTAATAAATGCAGTCATTAGGTGGATTTGTTTTCACCTACATGGGATTAACCAGGTTATATTCAAAACAATCCATCACATTTGAATATAGCCCTTTATATTAAAACCCAAATATTTACAAAGTGTCCACAGAAGCACATCACAGAGCCTCAGCCTCGGGCAAGATCCAGAACCATTGTACTGCTTGCTGTTAGTTATTAGCATTCCCCTGTTGTCATCTTATTGCAAAAGTTCCGTAGCTCCTTGGTGATTTCTCATGGAAAGCTCCTCACAGCGCTGCCTCCTTCACAGCACAGCCAACAAACTCCAGCTCCCTTCTTGACCAGCTAACCCAGTCTTCTATAGCACTCCTCACTGGACACAGCTGTGGCTTCTTAAGGGCAGCCTGTTCCTAATCTTTAGTGATTGGCACAGCTGCAACTCCTCAGGGGTGAGATTACCTTCTGCACTATCTTTATTTTCTTACATTCTATCCCCCTCCACTCCATTCCTTAATGTTTATAAGCATAAACATCAAGTTTTTAACCTTTATATTTTCTCAGTTAATACAAAATGTACATAACCGAGAATTAAAGCAAGCACAAAAATGATTGGTCAGAGAATTTTTGGACACAGTTAAAAGGTTAGAAAGACATGGCTCCCAACTGAAAACCTGTGGCAAAGCTCACCTGCCTTACACTTACCGTGATAAACCAGTAGGAATTGAGTCTGTAGTAGATCCTGGATAAGAAGCCCAGCTGGCTGGCTGGGGCCAGGACGTGCAGATGCAAGTGGGCTATGGAGCAGAACGGTGGCCAGTGAAAACCCATTCTTCAGAAAAGGAGAAGAAGCACAAGACAGTGTGGTGGTGTTAATTCAGGAAGAAGTTAATTCAGGAGCAAATTCATTGCAGTTATTTACCTGCAATTCATTGCAGGTTATTTACCATAATCCACAGGACTAACAACTCATTGCGTTTTTGATGTACATAGAAGCAGGAACAAAAACATGCCCTTTCATTATACCACAAAACACTCTTCAAAATTCATTCATCTTCTCCTTCACATCTCTGTATGTAAGACACATTTTTAAAAGAAGGAGTTAAACGAAAAAGTATCTTAAATGTATCCTACTTAGTTTTCAGCTGGAAAGCCAACTATCAATATTCATCATGAAGAGCCAGCTGCCTTTTTCTCTACAGGGCTCAAATTATGTTACAGTTTATTTCAGCTATCAAGGGCCTTAAACTGAAGGGTCCAGCACCAAAATCCAGAGAATTCTGGTATGACTGAAACACAATATCATATCCTGCTTCAATAGCCAAAGTTTACCTCTCTTCTGGCATCTAGGATTTACAGCATATTTGCAGCACATAATGAAAGAGCAGCCTCTTTGGTAAGTTGTTTGAAGTGCCCTCCCAACACTCCAAGATGTGTTCAAGAAAGAATCTCAGAGCTGGAACCAAATTTGTGCCAGAACTTCATCAGAAAAAAAAGTTTCTATTCAGGGCCAGCAGATTTTAATTGAGAATTCATGCAGTAAGTGAAAGGTAGACCTGACTTCTTCCATAAATCACTGTACAGGTTCTGCCACCATCTCTAAAGTAACATCCTGAAAAGTAATATACACAAACAATAGAAAGATGGAAGGTTTTTATTACATACCTTACATCATTCAAGTCACTAAAATTATTCTTCTGGAGAACAGCTTTTCCCACTTCCATCATTCTCTTCACTATTAAAACACAAATAAATTTCATTTTAAAAAGATATTCTTCAGAATATTAACTTCAAGAGACTAACCTACATTGAGATCACAGACATGGGTTTTTCAAAACATAAACACTGTAAGTACTCCTAGTCAAAGAAAAGACAATCAAGAGAGTGTGTGCTATGATTTACTTGAAAACTGCCACTGATACCAACTTCCCCACCTGCAATGTTTTCCAGTGGGATATTATTATAAGGACTTTGGCCAAAGCCAGGCTATCGCCACACCCTTATTAAAAAAACCCAACAAGTACTGATTGGTCAGAATGATGACTTTACACTAATTCCAGTGTTGTATCTCTGCACAGCTGCAGGACTTTGATCTCCAGAACCTGTAAAGCCTGGAGTACATTTTAGAGACAGTACATAAATTTGAACTAAATTGTCAGTATTTCTTATTACTAGCACACAGTTTCATTATCACTGAACAATGTAGTAACCCCAATTAAAAAAAAAATCAAAGCAGAGGTTAGAGGAATTGCTTTGAAGCCAAACACATACAGAAGTTTTTTTCTCTGGAGAAAACCACCCTGTGTTTACAAGAGAAATACAGCAATGCAAGCTTTGCAAAATGCAATTTAAATTATTGTCTTGCATCACCTGTGGTGATGCATTCCCTAAGGTGGAATTTCTTCATGGCTGCAATTTCTTCTGTTACTCAACACACTTAGCTAGCCATATCTTGTGAAACAAATTCCAGGACAATGTCCTCTTAAGAGAAAAAAAAAAACAAAATAAGCCTAGCAACATTAAATAATGGCTTCAACATTTCAGAATTTTGTTTTTTCAATTTTTTCTTAAAGCTAATTGAAACACCATCTCCCTTTTTCATCTGTCATTCCCTTTTTTCCTGACAAATAATGCAGCACTTATCTGAAAGTATAACCCAAACCCCAAATTCAACCCCACCAAAATCTCTGACCTCCTTATCTGTGTTTGTAAAATACAGAATACACATCATAAAATTCTTCTGTAAGCTTTTAGAATTCCATATGCAGATCTAAGAAAATGCAATGAAGCAGCACATAATTGCTTTAAAAACAAAGCTGTACTTCCAACAAAGTGCAGAAGCATCTACACTCCATGCAAACTGCAAAGTTTTTCCAGAACTGCACAAAAAAAGTGCTATTCTAGACCAGCCCATAGAAGTTCCCAGAAAGTCCCTATCTACACTCACTCACATCAGCTATTTCCTCGTTGACAAATGGTGTCCAAAGTTGTAATTTACTTGACAACCCCCTGTTTCAGGCTGTGAAAAACGATTTTCCTTGAGGCTAAGCACACACTTTCAGCCTTACCTAGAGGTATGTGCTCTGTCTTCAGTGTTTTGCAGTTTCCCATGTGCTTCACGGGCACCACCAGGTAGTGGTGGGGGGCACCAGGTTTTATATCTCTAAAGCAAACAAGGTCTTCATCCTAGAAAAGGATGCAAACGTTTCAAAATGGATTAGGACGAGGATACTGGCACAGAGTAGGTAACAATGTCTACATCCCCCATATGGATGTATGATGATATGGATATCAAATGTCATATTTGACGCGACCAGCAAGGAAAGCTGAGGGTATTTCGGAGGCAGCCTCCAGGCACGGAGCGCGTCCGCTGCTGACCTTCGGCAGTCAGCCTTCCTCGGCGCCAGCTTTCAGGCTGCCGGCTGCTGGGCCAGCACTTGCGCTGCTCCCCTGCGAGGTGCTGGGCCAGCGCCTTTAATTTAAGGTGCTTTCCGTGCCAGCGATGTTTCCCCACTCTGCCCACGCCGGCGCCGAGGGCCCTCAGAGCCGCCGCGCCCCCGCCGAGCCCCAGCCGCGATCCCAGGGCCGGCCCGTGAGGGAGCGGGGAAGGAGGGCGGGGAAGGAGGTGCCTCACGCACCTCGCAGGGGAGCAGCGCCGTGCCCGGCTCCTCTCGGCGGGCGATCCTGCAGAACACGCACTTCCCATCGTAGCCATCGCCGCCGCCATTCCCGGTTTCGCTCCCCTCAGCGGCGGCGGCGGCACCCGCGGCCTCAGGCCCGGCCATGGCCGCGCTCCCGGTGCCGGTCCCGGTGCCGGCCCCTCCCGCTGCCGGTGCCGGCGCTCCGCCCGCCGAAGGAGGAGCGCCCGGGCCCGGGAGCCTCGCTGGCACCGCCCGGCTCCGCCCGCCGGACGCACGCCGAGCGGAACTGGGGCTGTCCGTTAGGTTGTCACGGGAAAACGAAACCAAACAACCAACCAACTAACCAAAAAAAAAAAAAGGAATAAAACCATGTGAATGCACTCTTAAAATTTCGAATTGCCGCAGGGGATAAAAAAAATCAAGCACGCAGTAAAGAGGGCGGAAAAAAGGATAATAAGTGCTTATGACGCTGGATCTTTCTCGTTCCTCACCAGAAAGTTATGTCCAGCAATTCATTCGTCAGTACAAACCAAGAAAAATTTAGACATTTTGCCCCTATAGTTCAAGTTACTTGGATTTTTATATGTGCACATATAAATTAAATGGATATTTAATATCCAAATAATCTTAAAACACCATTTCAGCACTGTTGCAGTTTGCTTGGAGTCACTAATAGAATTCCAGAGATTTTTCCAAATGAGTCTACATTTTTTCTTTGACACTCCCAGCAGTGAGGGCTAAAATCTGATGTTAGTTCCAACTGCATAAGCTGACAGCCCTGAAATTGCTGCCTGTGCATGACAGCTATGCTAATTGACAGCCAAAGATATTTCATAAAATCACAGAATGGTTTGGGTTGGAAAGGATCTTGAAGATCATCTCGGTCCAACAACACCTTCCACTAGACCAGGGTGCTCAAGGCTCCATCCAGCCTGGCCTTGAACACTTCCTGGAATGGGGCATCCACAGCTTCTCTGGGCAATCCATTCCAGTGCCTCACCACCCTCCTCCTGTCAACTACTTCTGAAGCTAATAAAGGGTAACTGGTAGTTAGCCTTCAAGTTCCAAAAATGTTTTCTTAATAGTTTGTATTTTTAAATAATTTGCACTGTTCATTAGACTAGAGCTGCAGAATCACCGACCCTGCAACTTAAATGTATTCTTCATGCAGCTCAAAAGGCACAAAGTGCTTGTCCTGCAGGTGGAAAGAGTGTTTTAAAAGGTAATGAGATTAAAAACTAAGACTGAGATTTTCAAAAATGCCTTTTTTTTTTTTTTAAAGCAAGCTGTGCCAGTACAAACAGGACATGGTTGGCTATTCTACCTGAAGCAGCTCACTTGCCAGATGTGCCAACCTGCAGAGTGCTAGGCAGTCCCTTTGCAATGACCTCACCTGCTCCTTTTCGCTGTTACAAACAGGCAAATCAAGTCTTTAGGGTTTACGAATGAGGATTGTTCTAAAGGTAACTAGACTTTCCTTTGCTCTAAAGCTAACCTTTGTGCAAAACATCCAACACAAAACCTGCACTTAAACCAGCACCAAATAAAATATCTGCAATTACCTGGGTACTGACAAGCCTGATTTGTGAGTCTGTGTTTGAACACGGTCTTGTATCAAAAATCTGTACCCAAGTACCACTGAAGGAACACATATTTCATGTTGCAAGAACAATATCCTGTTCTCTCTGAGGGAAAAATTACTAGCGACCATAATTTTCCAGTTACTTTAGGAAAGTTGTTACTGCCATTTCATTCAGAGCAGGGCTCATGGATAGCACACTTGCTCAGTTTCACATGTAATTGTGGTTTGTTTTCGTTTAATGCCACTGCTCTATACAATGAAAACCAATAAAACCCAAGAACCAGGTACTTCTAAGACATCTTTGCTTTGCTTGGCTGGATATAAAAATATATGTGAACACTTTGGAAATATGAAAAGGTGCATACAAAAATTATGCACATGGGACTTTTGAATTCTGGGAACAGGTTGGTCAAAAAGATAAGGGGATACATGTCATTCACTGCAGCTGAGAGCAGCAGCAGGAACTACCAGGTAAACTGCTGTTTACTAGCATTTCTTAGCCCTTTGTCAGTGTCTGTCTCAGGGTGAATTCAAAACACAGCTCTCTTTAAGGACACAACATACTACACACAAAAAAACCCCAAGCCCCAAATCCAACCCCACCAAAATCTCCAACCTCCTTATCTGTTTTTGTAAAATACAGTATAGCTGAAATCCTCTTTTTTATGAGGTGGCACAGGTATTTGTCAGCATAACCTGTAACTTAAGCTGCATCCTTTCATCTTTAAAACAGTCTAAAGTTTGTGAATAAAAGAGAAAGCATCTGTAACAAGTTTCTGAATGCATAAATTCCTTTATTGAAAATATTGTGATAGCACTGCATTACATATATTCAATATTCATAGTTTCAAGGGTCACAGAATTCTGATTGAACAACACTGTTTTGAATATAGACCACAGCATTTAAATATGCTTTGACAAGGATAATATAATGGAGTAAGTTGTAGGTAGCAAGAGTGAAATGTATGCAAAATGTTGAACTTGGTTTCATTTTGTTTGTTGTGGGGATTTTTTGTTGGGTGTTTGTTTGGTTGGGTTTTTTGAAACTATTAAGTGGCCTTCTGCCACCATTTAAAAGAACAGTGTGGTAGATATTCTGGGTATCTTCAAAGCATTATGCTGTTAACAACTTCCAAAATATTTTAAAGCATTACCAGTAAGAACTTTATTTATGGCTGTAGTGGACCACAAAGAAAGGAAGTGTGAAAAGCTCATGTGCAGCGTGTTACAGGCTTACTGTGTATAGCATTGTTTTATTAGACTGTGAAACTTCTGTGCAAGATAAGATTTAGAAATGCTTTTGAAGGAAAAGCAATTGGCTTTTTTTTTATTATTATTTAATCTAGTCAAAAAGGAAAGAGCAGTAACTAAATTGAGTTGTATTACTCAGTTAGTAACATTCCAACATTAGATTGTACTGCTTTAATGCACACTACTGTCTCTAAAACCTGCCTTTCTCAGGGCAATGAACACTCAAGTCTAAGGGCAGGACAGCATCCTAATATTAGTTAGGCCTGGATTGTGTAAACGAAACCACAGCTTAATGGCAATGCTGAATTCCCTAGCAAACAGTGAAGACTGCCAGTCCTCTCTCACACTCTCTCCATTCACCAGATGTTTTATAATTTGTAATATATTTTATTCGTAAAATAAATTTTACAAATTTTGTAATATAGAGTCTTTTCAGCTTTGGTGGGGGGGGGGGGGGGGGAGGTATCTGATAATTTCGTTAAAAACAAACAAGAATAATTAGTTGACTGTCAAATCCTAAACCAGACTGCTGCTTGAAGTATTCTTTTAAAGGAAATTATATGCGTAATTATTAGGAAAACAAGTTTTACACTAATGTGACCTGGTCTGTTAGGAAAAGAACTTTCTTCTCTAAATCTCAATTGTATTTTGTCCTTAAAAAATTCTTCAGTTTGTAGAGAAATGCTCATAAAAGCATAGTGGGTGGCTTATTTTGAACCATTTTGTGGTGATACAGAAAAATAGTTCTCTTAGAAATCTCCTTCATAATCAGTCAAATAACACTGAGGCAGGTGCTCAGAGCATGCTATCCCAATTCTGTGGACTGCAGCTGAACTGATAAAGTCTACACCAGAGGGCACTTGCCCAGTGTCTCCATACACTGCCAAAACAGTTATCTATTAACAGGAATGTGACGGCAGAGTTAAGAAGAAGCACTATCCACCTTCTCCCTCATTTCAGGAAAAGAAAATGAAACAGAATTATGCACTCAAGTGTTTCTGCCAGGAAAACAAACCCTCTAATTAGGGTATAATGAAAACCTAATATCATTTACAAAATAAAAATATAAAAATTAACTTCAGAAATCAAATAAATTGATTCAGAATAAATGCCAATGCATAAGAAACCCACCTCAACAGTAATTATCAAAATGAGATTTGAAACATTGAACAAAAAAACTCATAGCTAATACATTTACAAAAAAAATCTACTATACAGTAACAATAAATAAAATAATTTTAAAAAAACATGTTCCCTTAAGTGCTGTGTACACCTATTTCTGATTCTTTTCCATGGCAAACATTATACTGTAGATTTTGGTAAAGTAACCTTTTATTTTTGGTCAGCATTTGCATGTTGAACATAAATACACAAGGAATGTACTAGACAGTTAAAGTTCTTCCACAGGATCTTTTTCACAGTTACATAAGAAGTTCTCAACTTATACATCATGAACATTTTCATAAGCATTGCATCTTCAATGGAAGAGTGCTGAAGAGGAAGTAAAAAACACTTCAGAGTGATCTCTCACTGTTCTGTCTCTTACTGCCTCTCAAAACCAATTCTTTCATTCTTGAGTTGTTTGGTTGGATTTTTTGCGTAGTCATGCTCTGGTACAAACTTGAGGAAAAAGCGTGTAACATTGTGAGGCAGCCTGCACCTTCTGGATAGCTTTAAGTGCCTAATGGATCCAGTCCTTAAGGCAGTCAGTGTTTCACTCAAATGTCCATACTTCTACATCTTGTATTATGAAATCTTCTTTCTTAGTTAAGATGTCATTATTGAAGGTGCTGCAGGAGTTGCTTCGCCCGTGATACAAATCTGCATCTAACCATAAACCAAAGCGGCCACTAAAGGGAAATACAGAACAGATTTGGTGTTAGATGGAAGAGTAAAAGCACTGGAAGCTGTATAAACAATCAAAGAAGCGATACAGAGGAATCTAGGTGACTCTGAGGCCAAATGTGAAGAGCTCAGTACTGGCAAAGCACTCTCCAAGAAGCTCATGGTGCTGTTCCCTTGCTTTTGTTTGCAGCAGTGAGTGGGGCAGCGCGCAGGACCCTGTGAGTGCCCACAGCCCTGGGCCACCCAGCTGCTCGCGCTGCCAGCTGTGGCTACACCAGGGCACAGACTTTGGGGGTCCCTTTTCTGGCTGCTTGGATGTGGGCAGACCTTGGGGTTCCTTCCCTAGCTGCATGGATGTGGGCAGAGCATCTCCTGGTTATCCACTCCCGATGCAAACCATGCCCAGCTGTGCCATAGTGTAAGCTCCAAGTAAGCTTTAGTTGGTTGTACAGTCTTAGCCCTTGATTTTATACCTACTGACCTTTGAAACTCATGAACTGATTATGCCCTGTCTGTATCCTTGCTATGTGCATCAACAGAAAAACAACAGCTTAGTAAGGACTGCTTGATAAACCCTAGAAACTGATGGCAAAATTGCCATTAGGGATTATCTTCCAGTGACAAACTGCTTCAGCAATGAGTGATGTATCTACCCAAAACATTTGCTTTTTTTCCTGGATAAAAACAACCGCAACTCTGCAACAAACCCTACTTGCCTAACATCAGTCACTCTAAGCAAACAAAATTGCTTTCAGTCTGTAACTGAAATTAGATTGCTGAGGTATCTCTGCTAAACAGCTTACTAAAATTAAGTTCAGCCACTTTACTGCAAAGTTTTTCTTGCACCTACCACTGTCCCTATTTCCATTTAAAATTAAAAAAAAAAAAGTTGGCAATATGATTTGAAAACCAAACACACACTCACCCTCCACCTCCAAGCTCCAGAGAGGTAGTGTCTCCATTGATGAAGTAAGTGTTTTCTCCACTCCATTTAAATACCTGAGAGGGGAAAAAACATGAACATATTTGGACTGAGGATTCTTGCAATCTCAAACTACTGGGTACCTACTCTTAGCAGCTAAGAGGTATGGTCATCTTTTATCTTTTTCTTGAAAGAGGAAAAGGTAAGGTAGAAAGTAAAAGATCAATATATATTTAAAACTATGAACAAAGCATCCTAATCCTTATTTTAAATGCTGCTTCCCTCTCTAAATCGAGCGGTACCCTGTTAAAAAGGAACAATGTGTTCAATATGGGAAAAGTGTATAAGCTAAGAGCATCAAGGGGTATTTCAGTAGCACTCTTATATCTCTTTTTTGTGGTCACTGTGATCTTAATGACATTATATCCTGTTCTTGATATCATTGCCTTCTAAGGTGAGTCTTTGACACTCTGAGTCCTTCCTGCTTACCCCTTCAACTCATTTAAAACTCTCTCCTCACACTTACAGACATGTCTGTCCTCTCTGCAGATAATTACAGACAATTTTGCTTGAAGTATTGCATTGAAGCAATGAATGATTAACTTCATTCATCAACATCTGGCACCTCTTCTACACTAAAAATCTCATACATGTTTCTGAAGTGGAACCCAAAAATCTTGTTTCAGAAAGTGGACACACTCACCTTGAAATGTGGACTGAAAGTGTAGAGGAATGTTTCACCAGTGCCATAGTAATGGTCACTAAACCTGAAGGGATGAGTAGCATACGCTCCAAATATCTGTCAGAATAAAATGATTACACGACTTTAAGGGAAAGTGCAGAATTCAAGAGAAAAACCCCCAAAGATGTCAAAATGCTTTCTAATAACAACTAAGCTGATTTTCATGTTAGAAGAACCAACTAGTGAAGCGCGTCAGATGTGCAAGTATTCCTCCACATCTTCTGTATCCTGCAAGTTAAAAGCCAGATGACAGCCATGGCAGCAGCATCGCTGACTAGCAGCTACTAAAATGAGACCTCCAGAGAGGCATTGCTTGTGACAGCTCCTTAACTGAGATACCTAAGAAAGGTATTTCCGAAGTCACAACTGCACGCACTGCAACGCTAAAACTTTTATTAGTGCTGAAGTACTTTCCTCTGGTAACTCTAGTTTAGGCAGTAGGAATATAAAGAATACACCGATGTCTCATTTAGGTATGACACGACTTCACAGTATGACTAGCATTTCATACCGATCACTTTACAAAGTGCTGCCCTTTCTGCCCCACCCCTGAAGAAGCGCTCCTGACCTGGTTGTCCATATCCTTGATGACGAGGAGAACGGGGCTGTCGAGAGCGGCCGATTTGCGGTACAGAGTCTTGAGGCTGGTGCCGTGCTCCAGCGTGCTGTACGCCAGGCGCCACGGGTAGCCCTGCACCCGCGCGGGCAGGCGCCGGGCCAGCTGGGCAGGGGCAGGCAATGAGGGAAATGGTTACACAAGCAGCACAGTCAGTGCCCCAGCCTCTTCCTCGCACTCAACAGAGGCAGCACAACATCTCAGAAGGAAACCTGAGGGCTTTCAGCCATACCTGCTCTATGTGCATGTTCTCCAGAAGAGCGCTGTGATGCTTTAGGATAGGCAAGGTATCGTCATCTTCTTCTTCTTCATAGTAACTGCAAACGCTCTTTCGTCGTTTGGCTTCTTCTACAGTAATGATCTGTGGCAAGAGAACAAGTGTCCAACCTAAAGCACAGCTCTTACACCATCAATCCTCTGTTGAAGCCAATTCATCTAAAACTTACTCCTCAGCTGTCACACTGTTTGGAGAAAAAACACCATATGGGATAATTTTATCAAGCACAGGTACCCTTAAGCAAATGGGGAAAATCTTCAGCTGGGGCTCAGTGCCACCATGGCACATAGCAAGCAACAGCAAAAGCTCTGAAATGGAGCTGACGAGAAAGAGAAGGGGAAGCAACAAGGTCTAGCTACAAAACAAACAGGAAACCTTAAACTGTCTTTTCCTTCCGTGAGTGTATCACCACAGTGGTCTTATCTGGGAGCAGGAATTTCAGGATGCAGCTGCAGAGCCCACTGTGCTCTGCTATGCACCTCGCTGCCAATAAGGCTTCCAAATGGCTTTCGTGTTACACACAGATCAAGTTTTGCATAATTCCTCCACGCCTTCACGATCACTGCTGGAACTTGCAGAAGCTGTCAACAGTCAAGAAAACTGGGAAGAGATGCCTGGAGGTCCTACACACACCTGGCCCTCAGGCGAGAAAGCAAATGCAATAGACTGACTCCAGGTGTGGACTGAACCACACATCAAAGCACACAAGTTTTGCATGAGGACCAGGGCTGGTGAGGAGCTCTCACAGCCCTAATACCCTCAGTCATACCGGGCATCCCCAGTGGGATGAGAGCTACACATCTGCTGCAAGCACTCATGTCCAGTCCATGCTGTCCCACAGATGCCTGGAGCTGAGCAGGGCACATGGGCTCTGGCACTCCAGTGCAGGGTCAGGAAAAGAGAGGAAGGCAGATCACAAGGCAAAATCCAGCCTGCAGAACAAACACTGCTATGTGTCCCTGCACACCTGAGCAGTTACAGGTATTCCTGCCCATGACAGCAAGAGCTCTACAGCTTCATCCTGACCCTCTAGTCTCTCCTTCTGAGACTGCAGATAATCCTGTGCCAGGAAATTTTTCATATGGTCAATTTCAGGAAAGGTTTGCACTGCAAAATTAGGATAATTAAAAAAAAAGAAAAGAAGAAAAAAAAAACAAACCAAAAATCTGCCCACAACAAACTGCTCAGAAAAAACAATCTTTCTACTTGTATCATTGTTCTTTTTTTTTCACCTTCAGACTGGTTTGCCTTCGCTCTGCATCTCCCAGAACATGACTGTATATTTTTTAATTAACACCTTTTAGACATTAAATCAAAAATACACAACTTTCCTTTTGAGGACTTTCTTTTAGGAATAGTCTCCCCCCACTCCAGGAATGGGGGAAAAGTACCAGACAACAGCAAATCAACCAAGATGTATCTGTAGCAAAATACAACTCAAGTCACTTAGGGAACCAGAGAAAATCTATTAACAATTGTAAATTGCAAACTGGGTCCAGAGACAGACAAGCCCCCCTATTCTCTGCATACACATTTATTCAGTCTCTGAACTGAATATGTGAATGAAGTTCAGTCAACAACTGCAGAAAGAGGCATCTGCAAGATCAGGTATTTACAGACCACACAAAGGCAGAAATGGATGAAAAGAAGTTTCCACTACAGAAACTGGATCTACAAAAGTATTTCAAAGATTTTATGGGGCTGAGAAAGGAAGCCACCTGAGGTGGAAATGCCCCTCACCTGAGTACAGAGCACGTTTATTACCAGGACAGAAATTCCATCATCAGATCCACACTTCAAATGGGAAATAATTCAACATACCTCTACAAAAGGTTCCTCCTGGTCTGGTCTGGCACAGTAAACAATTCGAATATTCAAAGGCATTTGTCTCTGTTTCATCATCTAGCAGTTTATTTTCAGTACCCACTATTCTATCCTTGTTCTAGTGGCAAGAGTTCTCAGCCCCAAGAGTGACAGACAGCTACTGGCCATGGCATGCTGTGATAAAACTGCTTATATACTGCTCTACAATTAGAGTTTCTGTTTCCCCGCAAGGGAGAGTGAAACTTTCACTCTCATCATTTCGCAGTCATCATGCCCAAATTTGGACTTCATTCAATAGAGATTTCCTGGCAAACCTACTTTAAATTGGTGAAGCTGGAATATATTACAAATAAAAAGACACACCTTTAAAAGCAGTTTCCAGCTTTTCTTCCTTTCAATAAATATCTAAAAAGAACAATGAGAGACAAGCTCCCAGTGTGGCCAGATCTCTCCTACATCTGTCTTTAGATCACTGACTCTCCTTCACCGTGGTTTTATGAAAATGGCATGCAAATAACTGAACAGTAAAATCCAGAGGAATGTATGACTGCACTCAGCTCTAAGCAAAACAAGGAAGACAGGTTTTTTATATTTCAGCTCAAAAAGCACTAACATTGAGAAGCTACAAAACTGTAAAAATATTAGTTCCTTGGGAATAGAGGTTGCTACATTTAAAATGACAGGTCCCACTTCCAAGCTCCATTTTTCAACAGAACATACTGTGAAGATCAAAATGCTCAAACAAACAAAAAAGAGGGTATTAGAATTTAAAGAAAACAAGTTTATGTCTAGGATGAATCATCAGATAACTTATTTAATCACCATCGAGATATTTCTCACTTTGGAATGTATGTGTCTGTTTCATTTATCCCATATTCTTAGCACAGAAAGTGTTTGAGCATTGAGAAATATGACTTTTAAAACTGTGTGCAAGCTTATTTCCCTTAGAAACTAGGCTTTGTATGCAGAAGGAGAAGATAACAAGCATAGGCATGCCAAGTGGTTAAAACAGATTGCAGAAGACCACACATGAAAAAGCCAAAGTCCAATGATAAATTTATCCCACTTACACCCAATATTCAAACAGAACTGCTGTGTGCACCCTAGAAGCAAAGGTCTGGCCTATCACCACACACCAATCCATTTCAACCAGCACGCAGGAGCCTGGGTTGATGTTTCGATGCATTATACATTTTGAAGAATTTATTTGTAGCACATAAATACATTAGGAAATACATTAGGAATTTAGCAATGCTGACCACATATGCCTGTACAGCTTTGCAAAAGACTAATATCACATGGTCAGAATATTTGCACAACTTCTGCTGGTTGCACACCAGAGAGCTCCCAGTTGTTTACCTGCTCTTTCTAGGGAGAGAGGAAATGAAGACTGAAGGAATATGAATACATTTGTGAGACAGATAGAAGCCTTAAGGAAACACCATAAAATCCTCAAAACAACTGCTGAGATTCTTAGCAGAGGATGCACACTTGATACGCACACGCTTCAGGCAAAGGCAGAAGGCACTCACCTCCCAGCTTTTAGTAGTGGGCTCACTAAAGAAGTTGTCAATCATGTCAAGCTCCTCCTTTTCCACCACAACAAAACCTTGCTCTTTGGCATCTTTCCCATATATTTCTGGTGACCACTGAACAAAAAACGTGTACAAGTGATCCACCCTGTGAAGAGGAGACAACCATTGTTTAGTAGTCCATGAACCCAACACTGTCACGTAGCACAGAGGTTTTGCCCAATGCCAAAGCAGGGACAACTACACAAACAGGATATCCATGTACCTCCACCCTCCCATACCACACAAGGCAACAGCTCCCTCCACCTGGCAGCCTGAACCACTTCAAGGTTTCTCTGCTTGTATTTTCCTCCTCCCTTTGCTATATGCAAAGCCAAAGAATCATGGTAAAGCAATATGGTTTGTCCAGTCCCACACAATTCATATTAAGAAGTCAAATTGATTATTAGGTCATAGTCATTAAAGTTAATTCTGTAAAACATTCAGTTTACCCATTTAGTTAGAGTTCCAGCAATGAAACCAGCAATGAGATCACCAGAGAAGTCTACACTGCAGTTTTAGCTGCCCTTTAAAAGTTATAGAGGCTAGCCACAAAACAATCTTCATTCTTTTAGCATTATGAAAATAAGCTGTTACTGACAGCTTTGCTAATGATATAGTACCAGCAGCACATGCTCTTCCATAAATGTAGTCAGCTCTCAGCCACTGTTTTTAAAAAGATATTCCTTGACAACTTCCATAACAAACCACAAAACAATTTCTGAAGAAGGAATTTATGTATTAAGTTAAAATGACCACGTGCAATTTCAAACAGGAATACAACAGTGCATCCACTATACAAGAAGCTAAATTGCCAACAAAAAAATCAGACCCACAGCAAAGAGGGCAGATGGAAAGATAGCGCTTATAACATCAGATCTTCCTTCAGCTTTTCACTAGGAAGTTACATCCAGCAACTCTTAGATGAACAGAAAACAGGAAAAACCTTTTAGAAATAGACATTTCCCCCCCATCACCATATTTCAAGTAACTTGGATTTATATGTATGCATAAATAATCTTAAAATACCCTTTCAACACTGTTACAATTTGTTAGGGTCACTAGTATAATTCCAGACTTTTTCAAATAAGTCTACAAAAAGAATAAAGAATTTACTTTGCTTCATCATGGAAATAATGAAAAAGGAAAAAAAATAGCATTGCTCACAGAGGTTTTGGAAAAAGCAGTCTGATTAGCTCTTTGCTAATTAATTTGAGCTTTAATTGAAAGAGACAACTGACTTGAGCACTGTGTATTTTATATGCAGTAGTCCTACCCTGGAAAGCCAGCTACTTAATTCCTACAAATCCCTAAGAAAGGACAATAAAAGTAGTGGTTTCTGCTGTCTGGGTAAGATCAGTTTGAAAGCACATTTATGCAGGTGGATGAAGGAGAGCAGCACATTCATATCTCAGAATCACAGAATGTATTTATGTTTTAAGCCATCTCTGGAAATCATCTAGGCCAGCTCCTGCTTATAGCAGAGCTAACTTCCAATTTAGAGGAGGTTGCAAATTCTTGTCTATTTGAGTTGGAAAATCTCCAACAATGATTCTACAAGTTCTCCATGTCTTCTGGGTTTTTTTTTCTTTTATCTCATCACCATTTTCTCTGAAGCATGCAGCACATGATCTGAGAAGAGTATGGCGCCATCCAACATTTTCTGTTTCTTGTCCCCTCCCCTCCATTTTTTAACCAAGTGCCTAAAAGGAAGAGGGGATTAATGACTACATAAATTGTTTGGCTGTACTTTCTTACTTGAGTCAGCAAGAAGCGAAGCCTTTGTTACTGCAAGGACATACCACTGACATGTTGAGCTTGCTCTCAACTTTCCCAACTCCTTTTCAGCAGAGCTACTCCCCAGGCTGCCTTTCCCCACCTACTGCTGCAGCAACTGCTCCATCCCAGGTGCACAACTTCTCCATTTGCCTTTTCTGAACTTCCTGACATTTCTGTCAGCCTGTTGTGTTGAGGCCTCTCTGAATAGCAGCCCTGCCCTCCAATTACGAGCACTCCCCAAATTTTGTGTCATTCCCTAAAATCACAGAGGTGTGTTCTGTCTCAACATCCATGTCACCACTGAAGACATTAAGCAGTATCAGTCCCCAAGAATACCACTTGTACCTCATTGCCACTCAGACCAACTACCTTTGAGCCCAATGGTCCAGACCACCTGTAACCTGCCTGTCCAGGTCATATCTTTCCACTTTGGCTACAAGGATACTATGGAAGATTGTGTTGAAAGCCTTAGTAACGTGATGGTATCAAGATTGTGTTGAAAGCCTTAGTAATGTGAGGGTATCAATCCCTTGCTCTCTCCTTGCTCAAGGAGCTAGCAATCTCAAACAGAAAAGTTATTTGTTCAGTAGAAAAGCAATTTGCCCTTGGTAAATATACATGACAGCTGATCCTGATCACTTCTTTCCCTCTGTGTGCTTGGAAATAGTGTCTGTAAGGACTTCCTTCCCAGGGACTGAGATGAAGCTGACTGCCCTGTGCTCCCACAGATACTTCCTTGATTTTTCTGACAATGGTTGCAGCATTTGTCTTTCCAATTATTAAGGAACACTCCCCCTCAACACAACCTTTCAAAAGATGATAGAAAGCAGCTTTGTAATAACACCAACCAACTTCCTCAATATACTCAGAACGTTTCCTGTCAGGCCCCATGGACTTGTATATGCTCAGTTTATTTAAGTAGTACATAACTAAGTTTTCCTCTGCAATGGACAGTTGATAAATCCAGACAGTCCAGATTTAAAAAGCAGCAGCATAAAATAGAAATAGGTGATTACAGAGGTGATGTCATTCTGAAAAGGGATGCTCTGCTAATAAAATCCTAACATTATGCTACAGTGGTATTTCCAAGCCACCAAATGTAAAACACTTGATCCAGTTTTAAAATTGAAAAGCCACTTCTTGAGGAACTTTCTTACAGTCAACTAGAGAGCTGTGAGAAAATTTATCCTAGAACTCAATAGCTGTTTTGGTGATCACATGCTTATGCGTGTATCATGCACTAAAAGAGACATCAATAAAACAAAGTACTTAGAAAGAGACTACTATAGAAACCTGAAGTTAGTAACTCCAAAAAGAAAATATTCAAAAGGCTCTAAGTCCAGCCACTGCTCCTGATCCAGGGAAAGACATTAATCCAGAAGTATTCTACAACTTTGTTATAAATGTGCTTGACTAAATGATGATTCTTCCCAAATCTTGAGCACTGAGTTTTGTAAGCCCTCATATGCTTTTATGAGCTTATAGAGACTTCTATGAGTCCTCATTATAAGACATTAAACTATAGATATAAACAGGTTTTCATAAATTTCCTCTGTACAGTTTGATATCTTATTATCAGGAGTCTAGCAGTATTCTCCTTATAAAAGGCTAATTTAAAAGGATTCTGCATCTCGCAAAAAAGTGGATGCTCTCTCAGCAGCACGATCCCAGTACAGTGTCTTTTATATCAACTTCAGTGCAAATTATACATTCATAAAACAAACATGTTTGCAGAATTTACACTGGAAAATTAAACAGATTTATTTCTTGAATGAGGAACTAGTCAATGCTATTACTTACAAGCAAAGAAATTCTGCATTACTATCTGTGTCTCTGTGCAAGACATTTTCTTGTAAAAGGTCTTCAGGAAATGTGTGACCTAATTACTGAGCTACTGCTACTCAAAATTCACTAGGGTAGGAAACCACACACGACTTAAATATAAATCCACATAGTAAGAGCACACACAGACTTACCCTCCAATACTGTAAGCTGTACCCATTGCAAAACTTCCCAGCAAAACAGTCAATCTCTATTTGTGTTCCAAAAGCATGGGTGCCCCTCTGCTCAGCTGAACCTGGCCAGAAGCTGCCCTAGGCTGAGTAATCTGTATCTAAGGCAACTCAAGATGGCCAGCATCCCCTCTGCATGCTGAGGTGAGCCCTGCTGTGACCAAGCAGGCAGCACAAAGCAGAGCTGCAGTCACTGATTAACTCAGCCACAGCGTGCTGGCCATGGGCCGACGTGTGCCGGGACACACTCGGTGCCTGGGAAGCCACGCATGGAGAGAGAGCACCTACAGCAAATGAGACAGAAGATTTAGTGCCTTTATAAAGAATAACAGCCTAAAAGTCTTCTCTCTGTATTCATAAAGTTTCCAGAGGGTTCCAACAAAAAAATAAATATAAAAATACTGGGCCCAGAAAGTAGCTGGAGCTGGCACATGGAAGAGCAGCTCTGCTGGGAGCTGTGGCTGTGGGACCAGGCTGAAGTTGGAGCCATTTTCACAACTGATGACAGAAGCTGCTTTAACAGCAAACACTAGGACCATGGAAAAAATGTAACTAAAAGCAAATCAGAGGAAGATTTAACTTACACTAAATATAGGCATACAGACCAATTTTTTCACAATTGCACTCCAAATTTGGACATTTTTTTAAATTTTGCCTTTTTTTTTTTTTTTTTAAATTACTACAAAACATTAAGATGCTGCACAAGCTATTGTGACGAGACTGGAGAAAGTGTTTTATTTATGGCTGCCTTGTGGCCAACAAGATGAGTGTTATTCTTGATATTTTCACACGTGAACATAAACTGCATTTCAAGTAGTTTTAGACTTAGTTCACTATCTCCTATTTTGTCCATAATACATGTCCATAATACGTGGCAAAGCTATCCCAAACAACCTACTGTTCATGGCACTCCCAAGATGCAACACTTAGGTTTATATTCTACACAATACTGATTCAAGAATATTCCCAGAAGGTAGGAAGTGTTGCGTTTTGCTTTGGGAAGGCATCCAAGAGCTTGGAGAAAACACCATCTTGTTCCAGAGGCACAGACATGCCTGGCATTAACACAAAGGTGTGGGTCTCACAATTAATTTCTGCTCCAAGTTCTACTTGATCTGTCATGCAATTCTGGGGTGTTAAAACAGGCATGAATAGCGCTAAAAAGACTCAAACTTACAACCCACCATTCAGCACTACTTTTGATCAAGATCCAAACGGCAGCCCTGACATCAAAGATCTGGTATGTCAGCCAGCATGGCCAGGTGCTGCTGCAGCAGCTCACTGCAGAAGTTACTTTTTTCTCATTATAAAAACTGAAGTACAAACCAGTTGTCAACACTTCAGTTTATAAATGGATTAGGTCTGCTCACCATTCAGAAAGTTTCTGCTCATAAAAGGACAAGCAGGAAAGCTGTTTTCCAAGTCTGTGGTTAGAAGCTTGACAGATTTACCTGTTACACACAGCAGTGATTACAGATGATTTCAGGCAGCTCAGCAGCTTTATTCACTGTTAGCTGCACTATCCCCAAAGCACTAACTGACCTTGTGTTGTATTACAGCATCACTCCAACTCATCACTCCAGCTCCCTGAAGTATTTACTCAAACTTCAACACAGAATTTTCTGAACCCACCCTTTTGCAATCCCTGAGAAGCCAAGGACTGGGATCCACAGATAGCAAGCACATCAAAAGCCATACAGCTACTCTCCCAAGGACCACATTCCAGCTGGATTAAACTCTCCCTCTCCTCCAGGAAGAGTTCCAAGACAGCAACTTCCACACTACTACAGACAATCAAAACACTCCTCTTCCAACCACAAAAAATATAAACACTTAAATCAACACACATGATACACATTTGGAATTAAAATTATTAAGTAAAAATTATTTTGAAAAAATTGACTGCATCTGAAAGAGACATCTCTGAGACAGATCACAAGTTCAGATTCCTCCTTCCTGGCTTCTAATTTACCAGAATCACTGATTTTGGTTCAACAGACCAGAGAATTGCTCTAGTTGCCTTCTGTCAACAAAAGAATCACATTTGATTCTTCACAGCCTGTGAAAATTCTTGGGTGATTTATGTCGAAGATCATAGATCTCCACTTCTCTAGTTTGTTGGTTTGTTTTTTCTAGAGTACTATTTATGCATTAATACATACCTATAGGAAAACATTTGTGTTCCTCAATTTTACTGCAAAGGGACTATTTTTAATGGGACAAAAGACAGAAATCCTCACACCTATTTGGTTAGGAGTGACTCCCTTTTCCCACATGATTCCCTTTGCTCATGTGAAATACTTATTTTTTTTTAGCAGTGACACCTCAGTAGATTCCACAGATTCCACGCCTCTCCAGCCACTGCTCCCTTTCCCCCATTTCCTAGACTACAGCAGAAACCCTGATCATCTCCCAGTTCTTTTCATATGTTAGCTGCACATATATCCTGCTTTCCATCTTCCAGTGGCACCTGAGGCCTTTTTCATTCCCACTGAGAGGCATATTAGATCATATTAGCAAGAAACATTGCTTTATGCCACTGGCATGCAATGAAATGACGGCACCCTTCGGCATCCTTGCTCCATTTCACAACTTGGACCATCTAGGTAATGTAAGATTCAGCTCTAGAAAGCACTTCACATTTAAAAAGTAACAGACAGACATTTCTGTGCTGACAGGAGTGCAGCTTACCTTTCCCGAGGAACAGCAAACCAGTACTCAGGTTGCTTTATCTTTTTACTGTACTGCTGAGACATGGTTGTGCTCTGAGACACAAAGGACTTTCTCATGGGCTTGCCTACTTTAATGCACAGAAACATTGGAGGAGTCTTGCTCTTCTCCTCTTTTGAAGGAAGCATATCTGAAGAAGACACAAAACAAACAGTCTGCTGACATGAAAGTACAAACGCTGCAGCTGATAAAACACTGACAAAGATTAACAATCTTGTGCAAAGGAACACTCAGAGGCACCATACACAGAATTACACCTGACTTCAACAGCATGGTTGGTTTAGTAAAACCACATTCATTTTAAACTGAGGCCATTTATTCCCATTTTGTCACAGCCTGTCTCCCCCTCAGCTGTACAGCTGTTACAGAACAGCCCTGTAAAGAAATGGGTAAGATGACCAGGCTGAGTGCTGCCTGCAACACAAGGCAGGCAAAGGGGACATATCAGGGTCCAGAAAACCTATCCAGGCTGAAGGGCAATCCTGCATGCACACACGCACGCACGCACGCACACAAAAAGCTCAATCAGTTTCTCAACTCTGTCGGTCACACAGCCATACCAGCACCTTTTATCTGCACAAGACAAGGCCAAGCCTAGAAGCAGTTCAGGCTCCTTAAATTGCTAGTGTAACAAAAAAAAAAAACTTGCTTAATTAAGTACAGCTTCAGTCACACTGAAGCTGCCTTCTTTGTTTTAGCAGTACACATACAGCCAAATACCACCAGCAGAAACCCTTATGAAAAAAAAGAAAAAATCCTTTTAAGACCAACTATTCTTAAAATAGAGACTTCCACTTTATTCATCCCCCACCACCTGATCTGACTCAAGGGTATGTCCACTGGTTCACTGAATTAAAAAGAGAGGGGCATCAACGCTCCAGGACAGACTGCTGCTCAGAGGCACTGGGCTGCCATAGAAGTGGTTAATATGTGTGCACATGCTCTGAACAGAGATTGCATTCTGGTATCTGCTCTCCTGGAACAGCCTGAATTATTTCTGATAATGCAATGATCAATCAGGAGAAAACTGATCACTCAGTAGGACTATACATGTATTCCTATTTATCACTTTTTTAAGGGTTTCCATAGCATGAGAGAGACCAAACACAAGCAAATATTGTCAAGAATACTTCAGTGGCCCCCTTCACAGCAATGCTCTACTACCTTGGATACTATCAGAAACAAAACTGACAGACCTCAATGAGCCAACAGTGGTTACCAATACAGAGTGACAATTCCTAGGCCATGAAGTGTCCCTGCTAATACTGAAACTAGATGACATTTCACTATCGTTCTTAAAGCCAGCAAACAGAAGTACAGATTGTATAAGCAGTGATCACTGAATGTGGAGAGAGCACACAAGCTACTTATCAAACAACAAGCATTGAGAACTTGAAAATAGCAGGTTATATAAAATTGAAATACACAAGGAGTAAAAAAGAGACCAGGTATTACAGAAAGAAGAAATTTGGAGAAGGCTGTCAATTCAAAGGTTACCGTCATAATGCTGTTCAAGTCTCAGAGGAAACAAGGATAACCAGAGACCTACCTTCAATTGGCACTTGAATTTTCTGCAGCAGCCACAGTCTGATTTCTGATTGATTGTCTAACTGTGTTTCTTGACAGGTCTTGTCTACAGCTGGTACTAATGAAGAGTCCACAGACTCTTTCAGATCCTTTTCCTCTGCTGCTGCTGAGCTGATTTCTAATGAAGGTCCTTTCCTTTCAACACAGCAGGAATCAAGCTCCATACTTTTAACTGTATGGACTTCATTAGCTTGAGACTTTGAACAGCTAAGTGTAAGGTCTATGCCAATTGCTTTATTGTTTTCACCTTTCTGGATTTCAGCCTTGTGTAAGTCTTCAGATGACTGAGACCCATTTCCATCTTTATTGAGGTAAAATTCAATAAGTTTATCTTTCTCTAGCTCTTTCTTAGTGTCCAATTCAGTCTCCACCTTACCTGTTGGGGTACTGACACATTTGTTTACTTCTGGAATAACATCTTGCTTTTCACACAGCTCTAAGTCTAAGTCAGCTTTAGGTTCAACACTGTCCTTTTTTTCCAAGGAATCAACTGTCAAGTGCTCCTGGACTTCTGTAGTAGGTTTGGTTACCTGCTGCTTAGTTCTCCCCAAGTCCCTGGGGTCAGCCAGCAAGCCTTCCATTACTGAGATTTTCCTGTCCAACCCTCTATCCATACGAGATGATGTCTTTTCCAGGTCAGTGAACTCATCTTCTCCTTCTCCTAGAAGGGATTTTTCTTTGGTTTTGGTATCTGAAGCATTTTTCCCCCTGGAAGGGTCCTTGGTACATGCATCTGCATCAAACTTTTCCAAATGGTCAGTGGCAGTAACGTTGTTGGGAAACTCCAGAGACTTTGATTTGATTGAGCCTGTACTCTCCGATGACTGAAGAACTTCAAAATCAGCAGACTTTTCCTTATCTGAAGGCTTTATCTGTTTGGTACCCAGAGCAACAGATGCATCCCCACTCTGCTGCCTCTTTTCCTTGCTAAGGGATTTGAATTTGCTGAAAGGATTGATATCTTTCTCAGAGGACAGGTCTTCCCATTCTCCTGGCCTGTACAGAGGACAAAGATCCTTTGGTATGTCACTGTCAGGGGAAATGATGGATGTACATACGATGTTAAAAGCAAAATGGAAATGGAAAAAAAAATGAAAATAAAAACTAAACACCAAATTAACTTAAACCATGAAACTCATTAAAAATAACTTTCTCCAAAATAAACATCCAGTACTGGAAATAAGTGACTTTAAAGACAATGGAGAAAAATGCTGAAAGTGTAATACCAAAATAAAATGAGTAAAGCACTTGGCAGAATATGCCATGTGGGTGAAGAAATGTAACACATGTAATAAGAATGTGCAAGTCATCAGAAGGTCCATAACAAAAAAACACAGGACATGTATTTAGCTGCTGGAATTTAATTCAAATCCTGTTAATACTGTAACTTCCCACACCTGACAATGAGTCAACATCTACAACCATCCATGCTTCCCTAGTCAGTACAAATGTATTTTTGAGAAGAAAAAAATCGGAGATAAGCTGTGTCCTGTTTGAACACGTTTACTGCAGAACAGTAACAGGCAATGCAGTTATTAGCTTTCTTCTATTTGTCTCCATTATTCAAACATACTGTTTGAATGCAGGCTTCCCCAAACATTTCTTTTTAAAGCAGGACAATCATAAAATATTTCAAAATGAAAAATTCCGAATAAACGTATCATCATAAAACTTCAGCTCTTTGTTACTGCTAAAACTCTGAGGAGAATTAGAAAACAAGATCCTCATCACTTAAAAATTACTAAGAAGTTATTAAACATTCCAGAAATGAGTGTACCAAGTATCTGGAAAGTTTTTCTTGAAATGAGAAATTCAATGAATTTCACAGTTCAAACAGGTATTGCCTGTAAGAACAAAATCCTGCTTAGAACAAATAGATAAGAAGTGCCTTGTTTGTGCATAAATGAAAGCAGCCCACCCCAGAAAGTCTGTAATGTATTATAGATTATAACTATCAATCCATTTCTGGTTCTGAGATAGAAGTATTCCACAGTATGGTGTTTCTGTAAGTCCTGAAGATGGTAGCTATGGTGTTGTTACCTTCAAAAGTTTCAAATATTCCTCTGAGAACAGTCCTGGTAACACAATAATGGTCAAAATCTAAACCTCTTCACATCCACTGAAAGGGCCCTAGAGACAGGTCAGTGCCAGAGCCCAAGTGTGGCATATTACAAATGCTTTTATTAATTACTGCAAAGGAGTCTTTGCACTTGGGTTCTCATATTTGTCACCCATTTGTGTTTAATGCCGCTTTAGTGTTCTAAAGAGAGAGTTGTTCTGAAGAACAACACAAGTGAATCATTCCTTAGCCAGCACTTCACTCTGTTGCACTGAAACTCTTCCCCTCCATGCCCCCATTCCCCAGCCCTTTTCCATGACCCTTACTGAAAATCTGCAAATCTAAGTTCAGGGAAGAACACTCCTTACGATGGCAATGCATCTTTAATCTTCATGTGAGAGATGTCATTGTAGAGAGCTATGGAGACAACCTCCTCCATGGGGCAGATGAGCCCATACTCCTCACAGCCATTCTCGATTACCAGAGGATCAGACTTATGTGGGTCAAACATGATATTGTTTGGAGTTACTATCATGACTCCTCCAACGACGCCCTAAAACAGAAGAAGAAAGAGTCAGCACATCACATGTAATGCACTTATCACTGGGTGCTGGATTTTAGGCTACTATCCTCAAAAGCAAAACCACTTCCCTGCTTCTTCATATTGTGTCGTGTAGTGTTTGCTAGCAAAATACTTTGCTTTCCAATACTTTGCATCAAGTCAGACGTTATAAGGAGAGAAAAAAAAATTCTTAGTAACATCCAAGCTCCTGGCTGAGGAGGAAGAACATCTGACCTGTTCAACTTTCAGTGCTGACTGCTATAAGCTAAAAATGTGATTGTTAATCAATCTCAAATAAAACAGATTAGTGGATTTATTTTTTAAAATCTACATAGCATTTTATTCTGGATGCAGCTACTTTCATTTGATCCATGAATTTACATGCAACCAACACACTTGCATGCAGTTTTACTCATGGAAACATCCAGGTTACTATGCCAAGCTAACATCAGAGGTCCCCCTGATCTACTTTCCCAGAGGTACACCCAAAAAGCTTCTCCATACAGGGATCTGGTATGAAGCTTCTTCCCACAGAAGCTAGAAACAACCTAGAAACAGCTCCTATGATTGGTCCAAGCATATTCTGCACAGCTGCAGAGGACTCATTTAATTTTTCAAAATGTGCTCTAGCAATGGATTTGATAAAATGCTGCTGCACCATTCAATCCACGGCAACTGACCATCTTCCAAGGTTTAAAAGGAAGATTGCCACTGTCTCGCTTCTGCACCCTCTCCTCCAGATGAAGTACAAATTCACTAGACTAACTCAGAATCTGTTTGTAAATCATGACATCTGACAAATGAGAGACAGAGATCAACTGGAATGGCCCACAGTGCAGGTACTATTAATTATATGAGGTCATCTGCAAGGCAAGCCAAGGAAGGCTCATAAATACACTGGTAAAAAACCACAAGCTTGGTTTGTGGGGCCTTTTTTAAAGCAGTTAAGATATCAAGCTGATGGCTTGGCACTGGCAAATGAGCACATGAATGCCTGCTCCTTTATAAAGCAAAGTCTATTTGTATTCCCATTCACTTCTCCTGTATGACTCGCTCCTCAAGCTTGGTTTGTGTTTGGATGACAGAATGAAAACAAGTGCAGAGGCTTCTCCCAGAAGTCATGATAGAATACATCAGCAGGATGTACTTCCCACCCAGGCACTGCAGGAAGCCAGGCAACAAGGGATTTCAGCTAAACTGGCAAAGAAGCCATCTCATTTTTGATTGCTCGGGCTGAAAATTACTTTTTTCATCCTGCAGCCATAAATCTGTAATTGGCAATCTGTATCCCCTGCATCAAACAAGCATCACATAGCAAGTGACAGTACTGCCTTAATTTACATGCCAGACATCAGGTAGTCCTCTATTACATTCTACCAAATGCATACTGTAAAACTGCAGAGTTGATAAATACAGTCTACATCCACTCAATGCAAAAGAAGCCAGAAACCCTAGGTATAAACACATCCATCTTACAAAAGTCAGGACTAAGGGGAAAAAAAAAATGTTGCAACTACAATGATTAGCATCTCCAGTGTTATAAATTCCAGAGAACTTGAAAACCCAAACATGCAGACAGCTAACTGAAACCAGAGTCAACAGGGACAGATATGTCAAAGTAGGCAGTTCAGGAAGAAGTGTCTTGCAACCTTGAGAAAAGGGCTAAAATACCACCCAAGCTCTGTGCTTCTAAAACACTTGCTGTAATTTAGGATTATAGTCCTGGCCTATGTTACAAGAAACAAAAAGAAAAGATTGTATAATGCAATATTCATTCTTTTATTAGGCTTGCACAACATTCATTAGCAAGTGCAGAAGCAACATAAACATATTTGGAAACGCTGCTCTGGAAACAGTTAAAATTTATCTTCATGTCATAAATGAAATAGACTGACATGTACTCATTTTATAAAGCTGTTGCTCAATTTGATGGAACTGGACAACTAATCCAGACATGTCTTAACTCTGAAGTGCAGTTCTCTCTGTGTATCTAGCAACACACAAGCAAAAGAAGAAAATTATACAGCATATTATCACAGTACCAACAAACACAACAGTAATAGATAAAGCCAACATCACTTTTACATTCTTTAAAAATATTAAGCAGATTTGACTCCCCCAGTATTCATCTCTCACTTATCCAAAGATAATCTCAAACAATGCCCAAAAATCAGGTTCCACCTACCTTACCATCTGTGAAGTAACGACAATTCATTTTTAAAAATTTGACAACCACAGGCTCATCCTCTTCTGAAGTAGAGGAAAGGACTCTCTCCACTGGTTTGAAAGCCTTTCTTGCCAAATCAGCATCCTTGGAAAAGAAAAAGTTCAGTGCAGAGCAACAGGACCAGAATAATATACTTCTAGATTTTTGAAAACTAAAAGGCCAGGTTGAAACAATTATTTTCTGTTTGCATAAGGAAGAAAAGCAATGGTCATTTATGTAAGTATATATGTACACTTCCTACAGTGTCCTGTATTGAAAAAAAAAAAACAACAAACCCACCCTTGTAACCTTACAAGAAACTCCATACAAAGGCAAGAAATTAAAAAACATCAAGGCAGGTCAACTCACCAAAATTCAATTACACATCTCAGTAGGAGAGGGCCTGCCCTGACACATCATCTACACTGAAGACCTCTGCTCACAGAGCACTGGTGTGATTCCCCGTGCAGATGGCACAGGGGTAAGGTTAAACACAGTTATTCACTCCAAGCTTCTCTCCACTTTTGATTAGTGATGTATTTGAAATGATTACTTTCATCTATGACTAATTACTTTCATCTCAGCAGATGTTAAAGATGTTGAAGGCAGCTAAACTGCCTAAAGGTACTATCTAAAAATCATCATGGCCAATCACCCTTCTGAAGAAAATGAAAGATCAGCAATGCCAAGACCTTTCACAAAGATTAAATCCAGCAGTCTTGTCTAAAGACAAGTTTGTATATGGGTACCACCACAATTTAACTAGAAAGAAACTGACTGCTCAGACTAAACCAACAGCCTCCCTGTTCAAGGATGCCAGTTCAGGATCAAGGATCTGGACTACAAACAAGCATAAAATAATTATATAACTAAATAATTTTTCATATTTAGCTTTCTATTCTTTGAAGATTGTGTACTACACTATTTTAGTAGTTTTGATAGACTTAGGGCCCAATTGAACCTGTAATGCATTTCCAGAAGCAGAATTCCCTTAATATGGAGTATTTTTAAGACAATGGTAAATTTTGTAGTACAACAAACTAATTTAATGCAAGACACTACACACAATGCCTGTAAACTCAAAAAACACAGCCTTGATTCTCAGCTTCAGAATCAGAAAATATTTTGAGAGTTTAAGACCAGTGAAGCATGTCTGACTTACAGGTAGTTTATCATATTCAGCATCTGATGATGAAGGAGAAACAGGAGCACCAGGACTAGAAGACAGCCTCCCAGCACTTGTATCTGGCACAAAGAGAATCTAAATACAAACAGGCATTTCAAAACAGTGAGGCAAAAGCTTTAAAAGGTTATTAACTATGTTATATTAGAAAGACAACACAATACTGATCACTCATGTCTGCAATGTACACTTTAAAAACATTCTGAAAAATTAATTTCCTTATTCCAGCTGTTGTCTGCTGGGTATTCTTAGGCAAGTCACACCATCTCTCTGTTCCTCAGTTTCCCTATCTGCAAATCAAGACACTTCAACCTCTGCATGGCTGTGAAGCAGAAGTAGAGACTTCTGCTGTTTATGAACCAAGTGTTATTCTCCACACTTGCATTTCCAGTCCCGGAAATTTCAGGATTTAGGACTCTCCTAAAAAGTCTCGCTTCATTTATTTCTCATCTTACAGGAGACTGACTCATACCCAACATAATGGCACAAAGGCATTTCAATTTCTGTCTCTCTCTAATTCTTTAATGCATTATAGATTGCATTTATCCAGACTTCCCAATAATCCAACTCCCTCACAACAGCTGTATTATCTTTTTGAGCTTCAGAGTCATCCTTAGGCTATACTGACAATACATAAATAACAAGTCAGATATGGGAATTACAAAGATTTCCCATCACACCATTTCCAAGAAATAATCTACTGAGTTTCCCTTTAAGGGAGGGCTTTAAATTAGTGTCCATTATCCTTGTATCCAAGTACCTAAAATATACATGTAAGCAGTAAAAAACTTCTAAATACATAGCAAAGAGTTATGTTTCAGATATTTAAAAAAACCCCAAATAAATAAAAGATTTACCTGGCCTGGCACAATTGTCTGTGTGAAAAGCTTATTGAGCTCCACCAGCTTGTTTGGGGTGACGTTGAACTTTAATGCTATGCTGTTTATGGTGTCCTGATTTCCAGCCTGAAGAAAGAGTTGGTGACTAAGATACCATATTGAACACAGCACCACACATGAACTAAACCCATTTAGCAGACTGTTTGCTGGGACAGACTTGACAGACATCTAGCTTAATTTAATAGCTTAGGTGATAAGCCAGTATCAAAAAAAAAAAGGACAGAAATATTCTTTCACAATATACAGTAGAAAAAATGTAGAGGTGTCACAGATGTCCCTCTCCTTTTCTCTTAAAACTTTAAAGCAGCACATCTGTATTTACAACTGGCCTGGCAAGGGGGAAAAGGTCATACACTGCAAAGTTCACTACACCTCCAGCAGCCACAGCATGTCAGCATTTCTGCAGCTCCCAGCTGGGACACCACCTCCCCCAGAGGCTCTGCGTGGTAGAGGGGAAGCACTGAGCGACCTGAGGGCTCACACACACAGAGCAGAGCCAGCACACTGCTGCCCTGCTCCAGCTTAGAGGAACACATCTCATCCAGCACAGGTCAGCTGCAGAATGGGAGTATTTTTCAGAATAACAAAACCACTGCTCTATTAGACAGCCATAATGCAGAAGTAAAAATGGAACTGGCAGCTGCAAGAGGCAGAGATCCTGGGTTGAGCAGAGATTCAGGATGTGACCCTAGCTCTCCCCATTATGGTGGTATTTCAATGGTATCAGTAGAAGCAATCCCTACTGAGACAAGTGCAAACTGAGAAGGAATTAGTGCTCAGTGTTTTGTGCTGCTGCCCCCCTCTCAACCTCAAAAACTCCACTTTCAAAAGGCAGGCATGAACATACCACACACCAGCACTTACTATATATTCTATGGTACCATGGGGCTTCTGAGAAACCATCTTCTTCTCTTTCTTTTCATTGCTTTTGTTTTGATTGTCATCTAAGGAGAAAAAAAAAAAAATTCAAGTGACTGTCAAGATGTTTACCTTTCAGCATGTTTTGAAAGAAATCTACATTATGTGCCAACTGCAGCTGTGAAGAACAATGGGACACATTAAAATACCTATTAGGCCTTAAGATTAAATTGCAAGGCAAGAAAACTTCATCAAGTACAGCAGGTTTAGTAATCATTCAGGAACTCTGCAGGTGTAATGTATATATGATACCATAGCAATACACAACTGCTCCCATGGTTTCTTGGTGATTCCTACACAGTTCAGCTCTGGATCCAAGTACTTTGTACCATCAGGTGAATATACTCATATCTACTGCCTTGGTACAACCACAACAAATACTGGTTAGTCACCACAAGTACAATATGTTTAAACACTACATTAATCTCTGAAGGTAAAAGTGTGCCAAGAGTCCTGCAAAGCATGCATGTATACAGTCAAGCAAGAGAAAGCAGAAAGTTTGTGCAGAATGGTTTTTCTATCAGCTGCAACACACAGAACCCACTACAGCAGCAGAACCCAAACCCTTGCAGGACCCAAAAGGCACTCGTGGGCTGTGAGCACCAGAGCAGGGCAGAGATTTCCAGTTCTTACGACAGCAGTGGGTGAGGAAAGCTGAGGCTCAGGGAGGATGGAGCTGCCCAGCCAGCCCCAGCCCCAGGCTCCCCGCCAAACCCAGAGCCCAGCCCCACGTACCTGGGGGGAGCGAGGGCAGCATGCAGCCCCAGCTCCAGGAGTGGGGATGGGGTGCCAGGAGGCAATTCATGGCTCTCCCTGCCTCACTGCCCCCCAAGCCCTCAGAAAGGTCCCACTGCCTCCGGCAGGGTGCTGCAGCCTGGATGAAGCAGGGAGAGCCAAGAAGACCAGGCAAGGCTGGGCCCAGCAAAGCCAGCAGCCAGGACCAGGAGCAGGGACACGCTGTCCAGGGTGAACTCCTCCTGTGGTCCAAGCCAGCAGCTTTGGAAGATCAGGGAGGAAAGGACTGGAAATGGCAGCACAGGGTTCTGACTTGCATTCAGGCTTTGCTGCAACCTTTGCTATTTCCAGGGAGCAAGAGGCCGATAGTAAAAGGAAGGGCGAGGACTCGCCTGCCACACTGTAATGTACACAAGAAACAAGGAGGGGCCCAGTGTGCAGGACTGAGCCTTCTGCTGGCCCATGGCCACAGCAAGATGAATGCTGTGGGGCTGCCTCAGTGTGGGGCTGCTCTCTCTGTCAGGAGAGACTCACACCTGGACATTCTTCCAGGTGTTACTGCTGGCATATCCCACCCATCAGCTGCCAGGGATGCATCATGAGAAGTGCATTGGTTAGAGACACTGCAATAAAGCAAAAGAGGCAGGAAGCCTCTTTGGTGTAGAAACCAAACTCAGTTTAAGTACATGCATATGGTGTACATGGCATGAAGGACAGCAGGAGGAACGGGAAGATCAGGATGATGCTGGCTTTTCCCTGACAGCGTTTTGAAACACAGCATCACTCAATGATCTCAGACACTTCGCCTCAGAGACTGGACACCCACATTGAAACTTTTTAAATTAGCTTTCTTACTGTGTTTTTCTGGCCATTTGTGTTTTCACCATTGTCACACCACCTTCTGCTGATCAAAGTGAAAGTGTGTGGAAAAATGATGCTGCAGGTAATGGCAGCATCAGCAGAGCAGAGTATTAAACCATCAGAAACACAATGACAACATGACAAACAAAAAATGTGACAAATACTGGATGTTTTCTTTATCCATTACCTGCATAAAACTGCCAATATAGCATAATCCTGCCTGAAGAAACACTGCCAACTACTGAGTTCACACTGTTTTGTGCTACCAGGAGAAACCACTTCAACTAGTCCATATATTTTTATGTATAATTACAACTATGTATCACATACGTAGGCAAACTACCTGAACTTTTTGTGACCTTTCCCTGGAGAAAGAAAGGAAAGGTAGATCTTTCAGCTAGACTTGTTCTAGGTGAAAAAAGCAGACAAGTTTTCAGATATTTTACCCTTACTTATTTCTGAAACAGTACTCAAGGTAGGAAACAGTTAAGAGCAACGATCTCACACTAACTAGACACACACCAGTAAAACCCTGGAGGAATTAGAGTAAAAATAAAGTAGGCCAGAGAGATGTAGAGAGAGAAAGAGATTTTGTACCTGATGAATGGGAAAAAGTTTAAGTCTGCATGTAGATGGGAGGAATAACAATATGCAATAAAAGCAGTTTCTCTGAAGAGCTTATATTTGCTATGAGCTGAACGTTTTTTGTTCCAAAGCTTTGTGTTTAAAAATGGAGAGCTGACCACAACAGCAACCACTATGCCCCTGTGGCACAAAAAGACCATAAAACAGCAATACAGACAACTTTCTCCCCTGCAGCTTCCTACCTGGGAAGTGGGACACCTCTGTCTCACCCTGTGAAATATCAGTATTTTCCAGGTCCTCCTAATTGCACTGCCTGCTAAGTTTGGAGATTAAGAAATACTATCCAGGAAAAGGCTATAACTTGTATAACATTTACATAACCTATATATACTGTATTCATAGGAGACATATAATATGCTCTGGCTCTGGCTGACAGGACTGTGAACCTGTTTGTTTAGTAGGATCCTGAACACAAGTGTGGTACAATAGAGAACTAAGCATGCACACGTAGTTGAAAACCTCTAACTGCAGGACAAGAAAAAGAGAAAGCTGAGTTTAGATTAAACAAGATACTGTGCTTTTTTGTCAATAAATGTTAACAAATCCTAAATAAGTTGAACAGTTAGGCAATTTTCTTTCACACCTATGTGCAAGAATACGTGTTGTATAGTCTGTTTAGCTGGAGGCTAAAAGAAGTCACAGTCACAGTCTGTGAATTTATTTGTCTCCTGAAACAAAATCTGACATTTTGTGTTTGGATACTTTTTTCTTCTACCCCCTACTGCTCCTTTTTTTTTCTATCCCAGTAACAAAGGGTTGAGAACACTGTCCATATATTATGTCTAACTACTAGACAGGTCTGGGCAATTCAAAATAACATCCTAATTATTTGCATCGTGTGAATTCTTAACTAGCCTATGTTTTTAATTGTGCATATAAAGATTTAAAATCATGAATCAAAAATTCAGACCTTCAGAAGAAAAGACTGCAGTGAATCCCATTAAACCTGACAGAACTGCTAAGCTCACATACTGCTCATGTGCTGAGGCCAAGGTCACAAAATCGTGCTCAAGATGAATGGTTCACAGCAGAGTGACTGGCAAGCCAGCCAAAGCAGCACACTTAATATACTTAAACACACACAAAATACTGTCTCTCCAGTTCCCCTGATCTTTTCCCATTTGTCCTCCAGGAAGCCAAACGTTTTCTGCCAGGATCTGAAGGCAGGCAGCTCTTGTACAGCCACAGCCACATGCCAGAGCACACGCAGGCATGATGGAAGCCTCAGGAACCACGTTTCTTTCAGTCACAACTACATGAAGAGCTCCACAGGCTTTCAACAACTGCCTCTGGCTACTTTTTGAACTTGAACAGTTGCTTAGTGGTGAAATGACTCACGGCTCTGACTCCCAAATTTTCCTGCACTGCGTGTACGCTGGAGATGGGACTGCACACCATGAGAAGTGACTAGGTGTTAATGCAAATTGGAAATTGGATCACACTGCATTTTTAGGCAAAAGGCAGAGTGGGTGGACTGAACCTCTCTGTGGTTTTGGGAAACTTGGAAATTGAGAATTATGTAAAAATAGTAAAATAATAAGCAGTGAGAAGAAGAATGCCAAGGGAGAACAGGCAAGAAAATACAGGCTTACTGAAAACAGACAGGTCTAGAATGGGAATTTTTCTGCCCGTAATGATATATTTGTATCTCAGTTTCCTAGCAGACTCTTGACATTTCATTTAGCAGTGTTACAGGAAACCTCACAAAAAAGTTACCTAAGAGTAATTTGGAAACCAGCTATGGAAGGAGTATGATAAAGAGGTCAATCAGTTTATCAGCCAGAAGACTTTGACGCATGATAGGAGAATTACACCTCTGCAACTGTGTAAATAGCTCTGTAAGTAGACAGAACAGGTCAAGGAGCTTCAGGAGTCTCCTGGGCTGCCCATATGGAGCACGGGCCATCTGCACTGCAGGATGATGCCATCAGCACTGCTGCCGCCCAGCCCAGATGAGTGTGAGGTGGGGCAGCGCAGGCAGTGACAGCTGAACCTGCCGGGCAGCTCCAGAGCCACCGCCAGCCCCAGGTCTGGCACTGCTGGCAGGAATGCCCAAGCAAACAGGGGACAAAGGACTGACCGCTTTCCACACCTGGCAAACAAACTCAGCAGCCTGAGAGGACAGAGGCAATGGCACACTTGGTGCAAAAGTCTGTTTTACTCATTAACTCCTATCTTACCAAAGATTTAAGCCTCTTGTCAGTAGGGAAATCTTTCCCCTGATTAGCCCCAAAATCCCAGATTTCCCAGAGTAACACCATTCACTGAGCTGTTCTGCTCTTTCAAGAGCTCCACACCATTTCTATGCCAATGAACCCCACGCTAACATGTGCTCATAAAGCAGTGCTTCCCTTCTTGTACCTCATACTTCCCTGAACATGCTAATTAATGCTATTTTAAGGATGAAAAAATAAATAGTCATTATTCACCTGCTGCATACCACTCATGATGTCACATATTTCCAGCATCTTTTCTCAGTTACTTCACTTTTTCCAAGTGACTAATACTGCGATACTTTGGACTCCCCTATTTCTCTGATCACACAGGATGCCCTTCTTGCTAGTTTTTCTTCTCCTACTACATCCTTTTTGAGTTGGAGGAAGTAAAACCAAACACAGGTTTTAAGCTATGAAAAAACCAGTAATATGTGATGGTGACAGAAAAGAGGATTTCCTTAAGCATATATGATACTAGTAATTTTCCCACATCACATACTAATCATTTTTCCATGCTGTTCAGTGTGTCAGTGCTGTTTCAGGACACTCCAGTCCAGTCCCACATCTCT